TTTATATGTGCTGACTTAGTTCGCCATTGATTCATTTTTTGTTTGAATGAGCCACAAAGACAATATAAAAACCTATAATGCACAATATTAACCCCTACTCAAAACTACTTAAATCAGATCTGATGAATATTTATTTTTTTGGTTTTAGGAAGAGAATTTAAAGATATTATTATATAGTGATCGATGTTGAATGAATGATTAATTCAAAGTTAATCACTAATATTTAGTATGGAGTAATATGTGCTGATTATCAGCAGTAATTAGGATGCTATATATCAGGCTAATATACACTTGACTAGTAGGTTTATTATTCTATGCGTTAGAATAGGAAGTTCCCAATTAAAATTTTACTGTTAAGTAGTTTTTTTTTTTTTTTTTTTTTAATTTTTTTTAATTATTATTTTATTTTTTTATAAGTAGTTAAGTAGTTTGCTTGTTAAAATTTGTATTCTCAAAATTCAATAAAATCTGTTTACTTAAAGCTCTCAAATATGCATGCTTTGAAAAGATTCTAAAAGACCCTAAAATTAGGTAAAAAAAAAAAACTTAGGTATGTAAAAAAAAAACCCTAGCCTCCTTTTCTTTGTTTTAAGTTACAATAATGTCTCCCTCGAAAGAAAGGGTTTATCTCCTTCGAAAGACAAGATTTTTTCGATCTCCTTCGAAAGACAAGGTTTTTCGTATTCCTTCGAAAGACAAGATTTTATTTGTGCTTAATTTGGTCTCCGATTGTGCGGGGTTACTATTGATTGTGGCTCGGATTCGGGTTACGGAATCAGTACAAGAATTTACTTTCTCACAAAATTGCGAAACGACGACGGATCCACACAAAAAGTTGTATGAGACAACGAATCGAGAATATGCCGAATTGTTATATTTATGTATTTGGATTCTTAGCCCTTCCCCGATTAATTCTTGTTTGATTTTGTTCAATTCGTTTTCATTATCGTTCATTGTCAATTGTAGATGTCGTATGACTTATATTAATGAAATTTAGTGTCCTTTATGACTTTTTTCAAAAAAAATAAAAAATAAAAAATAAATGGTAGATTAGTTGAGCCACGTCATCAATATATCTGACAGGGTAAAGTCGTATCCCCTAATCAAAAGTAAATACCTAAATCCTCTAACTAAAGTAGATAGGGAAGTAGGTAGATCTCCACAGGGAAACAAGTCTTTTTACTCCTAATTAATTATTATAATCTAAATTATCTAAGTAACCATATTTATATTTGAGTATGAAACTAAACTACAAAGAATAGGAATAGGGAGAAAACAAAATATAAAAGGATCTAGGGCATAGGTTCACCAATAAATAATACTCCAGGGTAAAACATAGTAATCAATCATTGACATTGCATAAATAACATGATTAACAGGCTCTCGCAATTTATTAATCAACATAGATCTAACACGCTCTCGCAATTTACTAGATCTAAGTTCTTATTGAAAATATCCTTTAATATCAAATTAACATCTGCTCGATTCATCAATTTAATATTGCTATACTTTTACAAGCCGCAATTGTAAAACATTAAAACAATTCAATAGGAAATTATCATGCAATATCAATAATCAATAATAGTCAATCATCAATGCATCAATTAACCAGATTGTAAAGGGCTTTCGCTACGTATTACAATCACAGAATTAATCTACCGGTATTAAATCTCATCTCTCGAATCTTGACTTAACCATTTATAAATTAACCTGCCTATTGAAACTAGACCTAAACATCAATTCTCATCTCTCGAATCTTGAATCAATATTGTCAAACTCATGCATAAAAGATAGGCCTAATCTAGTCACAAATCATTAAATCAATCAATAGGAAATTTATCTAGCATTGATAATTAACAACAATAAATTACCCCTTCATATTATTTATTAGATCCCCATAAACCCTAGAAATTAAACTACTCACAAATCATCATGACTAAACTAATCAAATAAATAAATAAAAGCATAATCAAGGAAGCAAATAAAATAACTGAAGTTAAAGGGGAAGAAATTGTTACCAAAAAGTAATCTGGAATTAATGAAAGAGTTAAGAACAAAGGTTTAGAGAGAGAATTCTAAGAGAATAATTAAGAGAGTAAAGAAAGAGTAAAGAGGAGAAGAAGAAGAAATTCTCCATTAAGCGTCCTAAAAACGTACTTAAACAAAACTAAAAACTACTCCTAATTAGAAACTAATTGCTGGTCAAAAGACCCTTCCAGAAACACGCGCCCGATCGGGCCCGTCTTTTTTCTCGCACAGGTCTTCTCACAGCACCGCCCGATCGTGCTAAGCCTCGCACGATCGGGCGCGCCTTGGGCCACGCACCAGCACGCATCTTGCCCTTGCGTGCATCCGCCCAATCGGGTCTATGCTTGCCCGATCGGGCCCGGTCTTCTCCTTCAAGGCATGGACTTCGATTGGGCTAGATTTCTCGGTCCAATCCATATTTCCTCTTGGGTCTCGAATACATGGTCCAAATGCCTCATGATCCAAATCACCGAGCCCTTAGTCACCGGCTCGATGGCTCTAGCCGACCTTGGGCTCCAAAAGTGGTCGTGTTTCTCCAATGCTCGTGATCGCTCCAAAATATCTCGGGAAAATACTCCAAAAGCATAAATCCCTACAAAAGTCAACCAAATCTACGGAAACACTGGAAAACACCGATTAGTAATAAAAGTGGCTCTAAAGAGCCAAAAACACTACTAATTACGACCAAGGGACGAGGGTAAAATACTATATAAAATAGACATATTAATATCTAAAAACACAGCACTATTAGATTATAACCCAATTCCACCTAAGCTATAAAAAACCAAGGTTGCATACGACTTGGTGAAAAGCAAAATGGAAGCGTACACACTACAAAAAAATGTCCATATAGAAACGGAATTCTAGCAACGGAATTTTATCCGTTTTTAAATTAGAGACGGAATCAAAAAATCCGTCTCTAAATTTATTTAGAGACGGAATTTAAAAATCCGTTTCTAATTTAGAAATGGAATTAAAAATTCCGTCGCTAAATTGGCAACGGAATTGAAAATCCGTCTCTAAATTGAAACGGATTTTTTTCCCGTTGCTAAATTAGCAACGGATTTTTTTTCCGTTGATGAATCTAGCAACGGATTTTTTTTCCGTCGCTAAGTTAGAGACGAAATTTTTTTTTTCCCGTTGCTAATATGAGCAACGAATTTTTTATTCCGTCTCTAGATAATTTTTGAAACTAATTATTTAAAATATTACATTAGAGACGAATTATGTAAGTTAAATTCATCTCTAAACTAGAAACGAATTTTCAATCCGTCTCTAAACTGGAAACTGATTTTTAAATCCGTCTCTAAATTAGAGACAGATTTGAAAATCCGTTTCTAAATTAGAGACGGATTTTAAATTCCGTCTCTAATATTTCTTTCATTTATTATCAATTATGTGAGTAAAAGTAAACAAATAATATTTGGTATAGTTGGTAAGAGTTTTAATATTTGACATTGAGGTCACGAGTTCGACTCCTACTAACAGTAATATTGCGATTGGAGATTCAAGGAGCGTTACATGGAAAGCCGAGTCGGGTTGACCCGAGTGAGGTCGACCCAAATAGCAGCTCTTTTTTAGATTCAAAATATTTTTTCCGTTGCTGAATCTAGCAACGGATTTTTTTTTCCGTTGCTGAATCTAGAAACGGATTTTTTAATCCGTTGCTAAAGCTAGCGATAGATTTATGTTTCCGTTGCTAAAACCAACGACGGATTTATTTTTTCCGTTGCTAAATCCAGCGACGGAGTTTTTTTTTTCCGTTGCTAAGTCCAGCGACGGATTTTTTTTTCCGTCTCTAAATTCATTTAGCGACAAGGTTTTTACCAACAGAGTGATTCCGTTGATAAATCCGTAGCTAGCTACGCCCAGCGACGGATTTTTAGCAATTAGCAACGGATTTCACCTGTTGCTAAAAGGCCAAATTTTTGTAGTGACATAATTACAATCCGTCTTGTGTGTGGCTGACCATACTGTGTACTTATAAAAACAAAGTAATTTTTGTAACATTGTTCAGCTGATAATCCTTGTAAATTTGTAATACTCACCGAGTAACCCCTTATATCATTGACGAAGTAACTCTTTTAATACTGACCAAGTAATCGTTTTAACACTGACCAAGTAACCCCTATTAAACTAACGAAATAACTCCTATAATGGATGGCTGTATAAGAATTTGTGATATAATTAAGGTGAATAATATGGATTGTTTTTTGGATGCAATAATCTTGGTATTAAAATGTCATGTGCAACCTTGTTATATATGCAACCTTGGTATTAAGGTGAATAATAAGTTAATTAATATATATGCCTCAAGACTTCATGAGAGAGTGAGGAATAACTCAAGTGAATGGTTAGAGCTGCCTTCTCGGTCCAGGTGATCTTGGTATTGATTCTCATCAACCGTCCTTATCGTTCTCTAAACACAAAAAAAATGTATATACACCTCATGAGGACTCGTTTGGAATAATTAGTAAAAGGTACCTTGGTATTAAGGTGAATAATACTACTTTAATTAATATATAACTATATATGTCATTAAAATGTTATCTCACTTGATGATATATATAGTTATATACTTGGTCAGTGTTAAAGGAGTTACTTCGTCAATGATATAAGGGGTGATAATAGTCATACAAGCTGAAGTAGGTATTACAGAGATAATAGTTTGTTTTCTTTTATTCTTTGTAATGATATGACTAAAAGGAACTTGGTATAATCTCTCAAAAGAAGAAAAAGGAACTTAGTATATAATACAAAAATTAATACTTAGGGCCTGCTCTCTTTATCTTATTTTCAATTCTGTTCAGTTGAGTTCAATTCTTTATTTCCTTATCTCATAAAATATTCAGTTCAGTCCTGTTCAGTCAATCAGAACAACATATATACCTTTGGAATTATGTTCCATAGCTCACTTCCTCGCACAATGAAAATCCTTTAAAAACACACGACACACGACACACTTCATATCATACTTTTTAACAACAAACAGCCGATTTGACTTTTAGGCCAATATTATTTGTGCAAGTCTCGAGTCATAACTCCAATTCTTAACCGCCCAAAATGTTCAAACACTTTGTTATAACACTTCCTCTAGTAGAATATTTTTGACCTATTCTTACCTTCTTCTAACTATGTTTGATCATTCCTCTAACTTTCTTCACACAATTTTTTCCCCATATTTTACTTCATAACTTCCCTCCTTTAGTCACCCCATTTTCCCTTCTATTCTTCCTCACAATTGCACAATATAATGCTTGTTCATCTACTCCATCGTCGAGTTTTGTGCATGTTAGTGATCTTGGCCAGCATCACTTCATGTTTGCATACACAAGTATTGGGAAGTCGTCGCGGTAGATATCAACTTATGGAGAGATCAGCAGCAGTAGTAGATCACGCTACTCATCAGAAACAACCACAACAAGAAGAAAGAGTGTCAAATGATGAGATTAACGTTGACAACTTTAAGAGTCGTTGTAGTAGTAATACTACTTCATCTGATTTTGAAGGTTTTGTAGGAAATAGTAAAAGAGTTGTTCCAACTGGTCCTGATCCGTTACATAATAGGTATAATTTCTTACTCCCTTTGTCCGAATTTATAGGTAATATATTGTATTTTTCAGAGCTTAATTTATTAGTTAATACTAAATATTAAATTGAGTAATTTTCATGGTTTAACTAGGAGTTCAAAAGGTTTATAGAATAATTTGAAATAACAACGTGAGTTACGTGACAACTAAATTTGAATAACATTAACGTAAGAATTTGTATATTTTGGCTTCTCATTACCTAGCTTGTTAACAATGTAGATCAAAGCTCCAATAAATCATCGTTATTAAACAATATCAAGCTTGTTCTAGGTTGATATGGAGGTAATTATTCTTAGTTAATGAAAAAAAAGAAGAAGAAAAACCTAGACTATATTGTCGGTAAGTTGACCCTTGTTCCTAGACAATAGGTAAGGTAAGAAGGAGAAGATAGAACCTTCTTTTTTAAAAGTGATACAGTAATGCGTAGTCTAATCCTTGAAAGGGTTATTAACAACTTTTATTTTTATTTTTTATTTATCTAGAATGCATAATTTTATGCAAGGCATTGGTATGTGTATACTTAAGATATACGAAGTATAATTAGTTACTAATAGCATATTTATCAGAGTAGAAATCAATGTCGATTTTCTTATATGTATACAAAGTGGGATGGAGGTTTTTAATTGATTTCAAAAATATATAGCCAATGTTAGATATCCTTGAATTAGATTGATAGTCTCTATTATAAACTTAATAACAATTTTAAAATATTACCGTGTCCCAAAATCAAACCTATAGTAACTTTCAAAACACTAAACTCGAGTAGTTAAGAAGTTTTCATAGAGCAATAGGCCGGAATTTTACATACTCTGTATATATTAGTGTGTCTCTTTATTTCAAATTTAATTAAAATAGAGAGATATTTTGTATTTTTTTTTTGTTACTCAATATGAAATCACCTTCTATATCAAGAAAGAGAAAGAATACATTAATTATTTAATTAATTAGTCCAACATAATTGATAAATGTTCTTTATTCTATACGTCAATTCTTAGTAAGTTAGATATTTGCATAAATACGTAAAATACCTAAAATGTTTTTGTATGTGTCATTTTAAATGATTGTCGTATAAATTTTAAAATTTTATAGCACATATAGAGCGTATTTAAATCCAATGAAACCTGTTTTCAACTCTTTTTAATTATAAATGTGTTATAAATGTTTCTTTTAATTTCTTTCAAAAACTAAATGTGACCTACTAGTCCTAAGATATTAGCCAAAATCAACTTTATATAAGCAAAGAGATTTTTTTTTTTTTTTTTGAAAGAATATAAGCAAAGAGATTTGGAGCATAGTAAACACAAATTTCAAGTTTGTGGGAAACACTATTATGCTTAGGATTTGGCCCACCAAAAATGGGTTAAACACAGCAAACCCTATTTTATGGCTTATATTTCGGCATCACGAGACCTTAAAAAGTCAACCTTGGAGGACCTATTAATAACCCCTCACCACTACAAATGCACTATATTTAACCTTCTTTTTGGGTCACTTTTTATTCTTATTTGGTTTCATTCTTTCAAATTCTTTTGTGTTTGTTGGGCATGGTTCCCACACACTTTCACTAATTGCTCACTTATTTTACTATGTGCTCCTTAATTTGACTTTTATTGTCTCATTTGATGATGCTACATTATTTTTTTGACTTTCTTTAACTTTGTTTTTTCTTGTTAAGTGTGAGTTTTGCTTATGCTTTTGGACCAAGTAAAACCAAAAAAACTTCTATAAAACCGCGTAAATTATAAATAATTAAATAGCAGACCAAGTAAAATAATACTCCGTACTAGCTAGCTATTTGCTTAAATAAGATAGACAAAAGCTAAGGTGATTGAAGATTAAACTCATAATCTTGATCTATCTTTAACGTTCACGGTAATCCATGATGTGGGGATGATTTGATGGTCAATTGGTAGCTATTTCAGATCACTTGGCCAACTAATTGATCAACTGTTGTAATGACATACACAGTTTATGTTCGTTGATTATTTGAAAATTGATTGTTTAAAGATATATTTTAGTAGTAATATTCTAAAAATTATTCGTAAAAGTAACCCATAAGAACACGTAAAGATGCAAAATGATATAGTTTGGAAAATATTTATCATTTAAATATTGAGAATAATTTATCATACTACTAGCCAAATGTTTTTATGATATCACCTTGACATCATCATGGCCTCATTTATTTGTTTTCTTTTTAACACCCATCGATCATAATTCAAACCATTTAGTATTTTTTTTTTTCATATAATGTAAAATATATTCTAATAATTATGATTATTATATTGTTGAACAGGGATGATCAGACGTAGATGGGTCAAAAGCAAAGGCCACAAACACAAATCACAAACTTTGTACTAACATTACACTGTTAATCGTAGTATATGGTTGCTCCACTTTCATTGATTGATAAATGATTAATTAGGTGGGGTTTGAAAATGACCACTTCAGTAATTTTGTCAATTTTGTACAACAGCAATTATTTATACTTGTATTACTTTGCTAATTTTTAAAATATTTTATTTTTAATTTGTGAGTTCACCATTTTGTTAATTATCATGTCATGTTATGCCAAACTACAAACAATACTGTAATTGATCACAATAATAAATAACAAGTGACACAATCATACTTAAGTAATTAATATTGTCAATTTAATAATCACATCCATTATTCATTCAAATTACACTATCAGTACCTTTAATTAAACCTCGACAAACGAATTAATAATTAAAACCAATAAGTGGTTGTATCATCAATTCACAAATTATTCCCAAAATCATCCGACTTAAAGATAATCTTAATAGTGACATATCCATGATTCAAATTGTGTAAATACCATAATAATAGTTAAATACGGATTACTTGTTTTTAAGTTGCATAAATTGTTTTTATTGCTATACTTTATTATTAGGGCTAATATCTTTGTTTAGCCCTGCATGCAACGTGTGATAAAAATCAAACAATAAATCTCAAAAGATTGAAAAAAAAGACTTTATTATAATAAACGAATATAGTTTAATAGAATTACATATTAATGCAATTCTAATTATTAAACAACAAATTAAAAACAAAGTAAACAAATAATCTAAGTAATAATCCTATTAATTAATAAAACTACTTAAAAAACCATGTGATGAATGAGATCAACAGCATTAGTAGCAAGGTGATCAAGTGGTGTAACAATGTCATGAGCCCGTTTAATCAACACGTCCCTAGAATGCGAACTTTGCACATAACTTGTACAATGATAAACAGCATTAACCACATTCCTTACGTCGTTAATCATGCTCATCCTCTTCGACTCCTTATCCTGCTTATCACCGTTCAAGCGATTGCTTTCCTCCAATGCTTGGTTCAATCCCAAGACCGAGTTCGCGATAATGGTACTACATTCATTGAGGGAGCTAGCTTCGTGGGATTTAAGGTTGGGTTGTTTGGCTTGGTGTGTTAGTTTGCTAGAGGCGGTTTGAACCTCGGTTATAGTGGCCATAATAGCGAGATTGGTGGCCTTTTTGGGGTGGCTGTTGATGCGGCCGGCTTCAGGGAGGAGGGTGTTTAAGCATAGGTTGACGTTTGTAGCATCGTTACATGTCTTTTTGACGAATGCTACGTTAGGGGAATCAGCTACGAGTGCAGTAGAGATTGAAAGGAGGAAGACCAAAGCCGAAACAAGGAAAAGTTGACGAGACATTGTATGTGTTGTGTTTTTCTGATTGCTGGTTGTATACTTGTATGAATGGGTTGGATGAATTGAACCTATACTTATAGTGAGGAAAGGGAGCAGAATTTAGGTAGACTTATGATTCTAATAAGTTGGGAATTGAATGAGATAGAATTGTATTAAAGTTGAAGATTATGTAAAATTATTTGATATAATTTGGATTCTAAATTGTGTAGGTAGAAGATACAATTTATGTGGTCGTATTTAAGATGGTCTAGAAGTATTCTTGTATAAGAAGCAGCTCCAGGAGAGTTATCAGTTACTCTGTAGCTTCAGCTTGTACCTCCCAACTCCCTGAGAGTTATCAGTTATTACACTGCACTTTCAGAGAGTTACGATACTGTATTTTAGTCAGAACGAACCCCAGTCTCAGTTGTAAACTTAATTTATACACAATATATTTCAAAGTCTCAGACTGAAGAACTCAGCATCCAAGTGAATATACTCATGATGAATAGAACTCATACCAAATGACAAATCAATCAACTGAACATACACACACACAAAAAAAAAAGAAAAAAGAAAAAAGAAAAAAGAGTATTTTGTATATCCAAGCGTTACGCAGTACAGTTGTTCTATACAATACATAGCTTTCTCACAAATTTAGTACAATTGTTAAGAGAATTTATTACTGCAAAACTATAAAATAAATTACACATGAATCTATGATTCCTAATGAAGATTGATTTTTATGTTCAAAAATAGATGGGAACATTTCTTGCCAATGTAACCCATCCTTACACATTTCTATACCTGGGGCACTATATTACACTTACTATAAAAGAATGGTGTATCAAATGAAATCATAACAAGATATAGAAGGAAAACAAAAGGGGATGGGGGTACAACCATACAATTGGCTAGAGTTGATTTCGACTTCACCAGAATTTCATATCCCGAACACTTGATCTTTCGTCCCGAGCAATGTGCATAGAGTTCCAACAAGCAGCTGTGTTGCCATTATATTGCTGCTCTGGGGGAAGGGGGGGGGGGGGGGGAATTTCATGAAACCATTGAAAATTTAGGAAGGTATGCCACAGAGATAATCACAACTTTTCGGATATCTATCTGTTCAGCTGATTTGCAAATTGGGTAATTGGGGAGGAGTAGAGCTGATCAAATTCTCCCACAAATTAGCAAGGTTCAGAAAGTAAGGCTTCTCACCCCAGGTCACTGTCTTCAAGTCTGGTTGGAAGGACAATCAAAACAATATTTAGAATGAAGAAAAAATGAGTAAAGCAAAGACCAAACTTGCAACAAGTTTTTTACACGAATACAAAAATGAAGCTTTGCATGTAAATGATTTTAGTTAGAGGGTGGTTAATAAAGTAAAAAAACTTAGTTGACGAAATTTCTACCTGCCATTATTTCTTGAGGCAGTAGGGACAGGCGACAAATAGATTTATGTTCACGGAAAACACGATCATGCACAGCGACCACATCAATATCACGAATATTCGTAATAGAGGTGACTAATGTCTTCGCACTTTCATTACATTGAAAATCAATACCATCTGACAGATTTTGGAGGGCTCTCTCCAAACCTGAATTTACCCATAAAGCACCGCACTCAAACAAAACACTGAAAAACTGTGAAGGATCTGATGAAGGACTTAATAGTATCCACTGCTTGTAAACTTTGGCTGACAGCCCAAGAATTTCTACAACCTTGTAAATTTCTCCAAGAGCTTGGATAAACTGCTGACCTGTAAATAACCAAGTCTCAATTAAACTTAAGAAATGAGGTTACATAGTCAAGAGACTTCCATAGTATTTATTTCTGTAATAGGTTCACACTCAATAATATACAGTTGTACAGCAAGATATCACCCCACCATAAGATTGTATAGCAAAATACCTCGAGAATCTGACAAAATCTGATGTTGTACATTCTTCTCTGATGCTCTTTTCCATATCGACGCACCATGACTCAACTCTTGAACACAAACATTAATAACCTTAGACCAAGTCAGCACATAAAGCGATTGATCATCAGCTGTACCTAGCAATAGAACTTTCAGCATCGATATTGCATGCCTCAGGAGTTCAGCAGTAACCCTCCAATCACTCACAGCCTAAGTGCATTTATACAAGATTATCAAGATGCAAGGCACAATCAAAAGGTAAAGGCGCAACAACTATTTCAGAAGCAAAAAGGAAATAAAACAGATAATGTAGAATTTTGAGCTTAGAGCAAGTAGCTGAAGTGCAGAAATTTTAATTTGCAAGGAAATCATACCAACTGCAGTTTTTTTGTCAATGAAAATTCCGCTTCAATAACATTGAAATTTGGTCCTTGAAGAACGTCGAGGAATTTGTCAAGACAAGTGCTTCTCTCAAGGTCTTTCTTTGAAAAAACTTCCTTAGAAATCATTTTCTCTTCCAATAGTTTAGAAACTTCCTATGAAGGAACAGCAGCAGTATAAGATGAGCACAGAGTTATCTTTGTATGGAGCTAAGGCAACTCAACTAGATTAAATTATATTTTTAAAATGGTGTAAAAGAACAGCTAACCTGCATTTCATCATCAAGAGCTTCTGCTTTGCCTCCATTACCATTTACATCTGAACTTCGAGCTTTCTAACAGCAAGCACATTTCATTTTAGTGTCAAATTATGAATCACTAAGGGATAAGAAAATCGATAGAAGTATGCAAACCTTTAGTTCATCAAGTTGGCATGAAAGAAGAAAGCATAATGAACCCCTCAATTCATCATAAAAATCTATATAAATTTGCAATTCTGGTAACTGTTTCTGAGCCACATTTCCCGGAATAGCTGTGGACAACTGTTCTCCAACTCCATTATCTGAATATGCACCTTTAAACTCCCAGGAATCGTCATCCCAGTCATCATCCTCATCCAACGAAGTTGTTACCGCTGCCTTTGGTGGGGAGTGCACTCCATTTTCGGCAGGTTTTACGGTAGAATCAACTGAAGATGTAAGCTGAGCTTCACTGTACAAATTTGATACAAGATCTTTGATAGATATCGCTGGTTTCTGGCCACTGAAGCTATTCACAGGATTAAGAGTAGGCATTTGGGCCACTTCATTTTGAAGATTCAAGGAATCACTGGATTCTTCAGAATCATCACAGAAGAGGGATAATGGCAGGGCTCCTCTAGAATGTTTTGTTTGGGTTTGCTTCTCCTATATATATGTCAAAATTGATAACTTATAAGAAGTAAAAAAAATCATTTTTTTACACACTAAATTTATCGTTTAAATGCTCAGTGTGAAACACAACAATACCATCACATGATCTAACAAGAAACAAAGAGAATTCCTCAGCTAAACAGGGTATGCAATTAAGCTAATAAAACTTCAATTTAAACCTAGAACCTACATTCCTCATGTGCAATCATGTAGAAGAAGTGTGAAACCATCAGTAATATGTGCACAATGTCAAAGGTGATGGTGAGTAAATGATTCACAAATCACAATGGGAAATATGGATTTAACATAAATAGATAATTAGTGGTGCTACGGGTTCCTAAAAGATGTACTCGATACATGGGACGGACAATAAACCAGACTTCAAAAAGCATAACTTTGCACACCTGGGCTTCTCCATTTGGTAGCTGAACTTCAGCAGGATTCACATCATTACCAACTTGCTCTTGCTGCAACCAAAATAGATTTTTTTTTTAAAAAAAGAAAAAGATACTAAGGATAATAATTGAAGCTAATCGAATTAATAAATCCTTAAGTCACCTGCTCCTTAGACACAACTTCTCGAGATGCATCTATAAAATCCCCAAAGTCATCAAAATCATCATCTTGATTCATAGAACTTGCACTTATTCCACCTCCATTGTCAATGAGCTCAACTTCAGGAAAGGGATCCCACATGAAACCATTTGTTGTGCTTGCATTTGACTTGATACCAACAGCCATTTCACTGGATTGATGATTAGTCTCGTTTTCATATGGTGCAGCAAAAAAGTCAATAGATTGAGGTCCCAATCCATTAACACCAAGCTTGTGATCAACAAATTGGGAAGCATCCTGACCTATCAACAAACACAATAATTTAAACACGTCAAAACCAATGTCTCTTTTGCCAACAGCAACTTCAACAAATTTACACCTAAATGCATGCACGCAATAGTACTATATCATGATACTATTATCACTTAACAGCTACACCAGCAGCAGCATGCATAGTAAGTAAATTATAAACATAGTCTAAAATTAATCAGCATATAGTTACTTCTGAAACAAAGGACAATATCACAATACTCCCAGCAATCACATGGATTGTTATAAACGGAAAAAATGTGTACATACTGAAAGGAAGAAGATGATAAAACTACACAAGTTTTCAAGAGACTTGTTCTTTCCCAAAGTGTAAAATAAAACAAAAGAACTCTCAATAATATTCATGTTTTTCTCTCAATACTCTTCCCTTTATATATTATACGAGTCTTAACTAATTGACTAGCTTCTCCTAAAAGCTAATTCCAACAACTGATTATGCATTGCCTAATGCCTACACTACCCTCCCCTTAAGTTAGTTCATTACATAAATTACCATATGAGTATATGACATATCTTGAACCACAAATTGAAGCACGATGGTAATACTTTTGAGACCCCTCCTCTTTCCCAAAAACTCCTTCATGTAATTGGTTCAAAAGTAGATAATTGTATCACTCTTAAGAGATATACTCAACAAGCATTTCCATGTCCCAAAAAACCTTCAAAATCCTTACTTTTTGTGTCCAAATCTGAACTATACCAACATAAATCGAGTTTTGATTATAGAAACACAAAATAAATAAGCATCTTGCCACCTCATAATCCCCAATGACTTACTAAAAGAAAGCCAACAATCTCAAATTCATATTCTACATTAAGAGGGAGGGGGGGGGGGTGTTCAACAATACCGGCCTGCTTTTCTTGCTCCTTTTTCATCGAAAGCTCGATTTTTGATTTGGATACTACAGAGCCATCCTGTTCCCAACAACAAAGAATATATAGTACTTAGTATGATATAAATTAGATGATACTAATGAATTTCATTCAAATAAACAATCACCTCAAAAATAAGAATAAACCAATAATATGATCAAAATCTACACAGTTCAACAACAACAACAAACCATCTAGAATAATAAGGGTTAAAAAATCAAACAAGAGGAATCAAATTTACCTTTGAATTCCCTTGTTCTGTTACAGAATTCCCAGAAAATGCACCCTTAAATTCCCATTCATCCTCATCTTCTTCTTCATTATTATCATTCTTCTTATTACCATTCTCAATACTCAAATCTGAAGCCACCCCATTAAAATTCATATTAAACCCAGTAAAATCAAAGTTCCCATTAGATTGAGTGTTAGGATTTGGATCAACTTCACCGAACAAGGACAAAGGCGAAGCTCCAATCGCCGGTTTCGTCGGGCCCGGATCAACCCGAATCGGAGATGGGCCAGAAACGGGTTGAGCCCAATTGAAGGAACTTGAGAAGCCATTGTTATCGGGGAGATTGAACTGGGATTGAGAAGGGGTAGATTGAGGGGGTGAAGGATTGAAGAAGAAATCGCCCCAAACGTCGGCGATATTGGAGGTGGAAGTGACGCCATTGATTTGAGATTGAGGTTGAGGTTGAAGATGAGAAGGAGGAGGTGGTGTTGCGAATTTGAAATCGCCGAAGCTGAAGCCGTCTTCTTCGTGTTCCGCCATTGATGGGAGTTGTAAGATTTCGAGCAGAGCTTTCTCTCTCCTGTTTTGTGTTGAGAAGGGTCTAACTGTCAATGATGGTAAAGGCGCGTTTGGAATCGTTAGATGATCATAATTATTTTAATTTTCATTGATCTTTAAATAATTCGAGCAATAAAAATACTACCTGTTGTTGTAAAAAAACCATTCAATTGTAATTCACCATCTGTTGCTTCAACTATTAACGATTCAATTGTAATTGTAATATAAAGTGGTTTTTCACCAATTTTTTGTTATTACATTGCACATTGATCAAATGTTATTCATCGTAAAATTAAAATTGAATTTGCAAAAGTTTCATACGAATTATCATTGTTATAGATAAAACTTATCATATGACCCAAAAAGACTTGCGTGGACCTGATCCACAATAATATTATTGTGGACCCGAGGTTTATACACACGCAACTGACATTATATTGAACATAGTGACCATTATTTTTAACATAATAACCTTATTTTTAACCTAGTAACCTTTATTAAAACTACTACAACGTTTAATAATATTGTGAACTTGAAATACGACGCTATTACCCTAATTTTAACATAGTGACCTTTATTATTCATATTGATCAGTATATAAAATATTTCATTACAAAAATAACTACTTAGGCATATATATTACCAAAATGATTTTTATTTCAATATAGTGAACTTTTTTTTAATTATAGAGACCTTTTTTTTTATTAATAAAACAACCATACTTTCTCTAATATTAGTGGTCCACAATAAATTAGTGTGAACCAGGTTCATTTAAGAATTTGTACATATGACCTATTACATTGACATCATCCTATTTAAATTAAAATCATATTATGTTTAAAATAATTCATAATATGTTAAAATTTAACCTAAAATTGTTCAATGAACACTTAAAATTAATCTAAAATAATTCATAATATGTACACAACTCTTTTTTTTTTTTTTTTAATTTTTTTAATTATTTTTTTATTTTATTTTAAATGATCTAACTTGATTAAACAAATTGATAATATTGAAAAAGTTATAATAACCGTTAACCATTTTGTTAAAAATAAAAATAAAAATAAAAATAAATGATACTTTGTTAACATTATATGAATTGCTTCTTTCAAAAAAAAAAAAAAAACATTATATGAATTGCTCAATAGTTTCAATTTTATAAGATTAATTATTACTAATACATCATAATATTTCAGATGGATAAGGCTTCCTTGCTCTAAGATAGGCTAAGAGGACACGGTTTGGTATGCCTGATATGTAAAAAAAAAACTTCGTATCAAATAAAAAAGGACACGGTTTGGTATGACTGACATGTATTTAGGCTTGTTAATTAACACAAGTACGTGTTAAATGATATATCTCATGCATTAAAAAGGATACTTAATTATTTATACGCTACCTTAAAAATAAATACTAGTAATAAAAAGTAGATCAAGAATGTAGGCATATTGTGCGGTCCAAAATAAAGATGAATATTCCAATATTGTACACGTACGTATAGTGCTGTCAAATTTCAAACCGAAACCGTTTAACTGCCCGAAATCAACCAACCCAAATAAGAACTGAACCAATTAAAAACCGTTTTTGTAAAACCGAAAATCGACCCGAACCGTATTTAAGTAAACCCGAAACCGAACTAATCCGAATAATGTCAAACCGTATAAGAACCGAACCCGTTAACAAACCGAACCGAAAAAGAACCGAACCGTTTATAACTCGAAACCGTTTCCAACCCGAAACCGTTTGAACCGAGGTAAAAATCGTTTACACCGAACCGTTAATAAACTGCGACCCGTTTGCACCGAACCGTTTATAAACTGAACCACTTACAAACCGAACCGTCTATAAATCAAACTGTAATTTCGATGTCACGATAACTCATCAAATCATGATTATGACACATCAATTAGATGATTGAATAAGAAGCAGCTAATAATGTGATAGTAAAACAATAATAATTCATTAATACACTAAATTTTTATAATCTACGTTACTTCATAATAAACTAGTAAGATTAATATGACTAAACTTGAAAATAACATATGTATTTTTAAAATCGATGAGAATTTGTATATAATATATAATGCCTAATGCTTAATATGAAGTGATGAAGTCTCGGCTTGATATAAAACTTGTTAACCAGCAAAAGGTTAGCAAGTACTATGAAATTTCAAACCAAAATCGTTTAACTGCCCAAATCCAAACGACCCGATCAAAAACCGACTTTTTAAATAAAAAACCGTTCCGAACCATAATTTAGTAAACGTGAAATAAAACTGATTTGAATAACGTTAAACCGTATAAAAGGCAAACCAAAATAAAACTGAACCGAAAAAGAACCGAACCGTTTCTAACTTGAAACCGTTTTCAACCCGAAACTGTTTGAACCGGTGTAAAAAACCGTTTACACCGAACCGTTAACAAACCGCAACCTGGCTCCACCGAACCGTTTACTTCTCGAACCGTTTAGAACCCGAACCAAATTAAAACCGATCAAGAATAAACCGAAACCGAATCGAACCGATAACTATTTAAACTGAACTGAAACCGACATGTGAGACACTTAAACCGATTTCAAACCGACCCGATTTAATACCGAACCGATTTCAAACCGAACCGAACCCGAACTGTCAAACCGTTTTGACAGTGCTACGTACGTAGTAAAATCTTACCTAGCGGCTTTGTCGACATCAATGCCAATCTGGAATCTGCTAACACCATTTTGGGTGCTGTTTATGTATGTCTATTTCTGTACTTTAATGGAAATCGTATGTCACCTTCATCAAACTAATGGAATGTTTATGAATTTGACACCATATAATACCAATTGTCCAATGTTATAATTCCTACTGTATTATTCATGCTTAGATCTTCAATCTTCCATGATTTTAACAATAATTTACATAATCTTTCCTTTAGACTTTTTGTCCACTCTCCAAAAACCTTCTATTATTTCACTCCATATTTTTTCTCGAGTAATGGCTTCGTAGATGATATGGAATATAAGTTTTGTTGTCTTAAGGTTTTATACAAAAGGTTGTAAATGACAAATTGTTCTCTATATAAATCTAATTTGATCTCTATTAACTCTCCTAATCACAAACAATGTTGCAGTAATGTTCCATCTGGCCTATTGAACCTCACCATGCAAGCAGGGGCGGACCCACCTTTAGTCATAGTGGGTCCGGTGACACAGTATTTTTTTTTAAAAATAAAATATCAAAGAGCCCCTTATTATAGATAGGTGGTCTCTTTAATGCTGCTATTGGTAACAACAAACAATATTAAAGAGACCTCTTATTAAGATAGGCGATCTCTTTAATGCTGCTATTGCTACAAAAGACTTAATGTGGTTTTTTTAAATATTAAAGAGACCTGTTATTTATATAAGAGGTCTCTTTGATGCTGCTATTGCATTTCGCAATTTTCTTGCGCTACTTTCTTTTTCATTAAAGAGACCAGTTATATTTAATAACTGGTCTCTTAAGTTATCTCACTTTTTTTTGTATAATTTTTTAATAATTTTTTTTCCCTTTTTATATCTTATATTTGTACAACCAGTTTTAATATTTCCCCATAAAGCTGATCAATTAACTAAAAAATCATAAAGTTAATTCAATATAATAATTTTATTGTACCATTTGTTTATAACATGTTATTTGTAATATTTTCGACTTGTAAAATTGAATTCTTAAGTACTGTATTTGGTTGTGGTATGAATTTTTGTGTCCTATTTTTGGATTGAAATCAATTTGGTGAAAAATATATATATATAATTTTTGGATTGAAATTAATTATGAACAAGACATGGAAAAAAAAATTGTACTTTCCCAAATGATCAATAATTGATGGTGACACACTATCTCGGAAATCCTGGATCCGCCACTGCATGCAAGCTAAGACTACCAACGTACGGTTCAAGCTAATGATAAGGTTCAAGCCTTATCTGAATTGAATTATACCAATATTAACTACTAAATTGCAGAAATGCTAACAATAACCAGAATTTGCAGAATAAGGGAAGAAACAGAAGGAAGGAAGGAGAGAGAGAGAGAGAGAGAGAGAGAGGAGGATTTTTGTTGTAATCATTTCTATCATGTGAGGCCTTAATTACAACATTAAATAACCAGCTAAGCTCCCCAAAGATTCCCCGTAACAAACTGCAACAAGACAAAAATAGGCAAAAACTACTTTTCCCGCCAAAACTTAATACAAGTAATTAGTTTTATAATCTATACTGTATCAGCTAATAAGCTTGTAAATGTCTAATACTGCATGTACATTGTGCACAAAAGAAAGACATAGAAGTATAAAGTTATAAACCAAAATTAAGCTATGATGCGACATAATAACTACGTACTACTAACAAAACAATGTGGTTGCAATAAGGATGTGCACATCAAAAAACATACAACAATTTTGGTTCAACTTAATTCCATCTCATAGCCTCATAGCGAGCCCTACTTCGAAAATCATACAACAATCCTCACCTAATGACAATATAATGTATTGATCGATGACCCTAATACAAAGCAAACTACAATGTCTTCTACAAAGACCATGTCCTTCATACATGCAATCGACACGAACTAGCTTAGCTACATACTAAACTAAAAAGAGACCAGCCAAAATAGGCAAGAAATAGTTAAACAACCCGTAAACCTCATCAACGGCATTAGAAGCAAAGCTCCCTCCCGGGCTACTTGTTGACAACACTACCACCATCCAATCGTCCTCTGACCCAACTCCCGCTCCAGTGAACTTTGTATCATTGATGTACTGAGCAAAGCCAGTCCGAGTATAGTTGGTAAGGACAAGGGTTGGAACGAGTTTTGAGACGCAAACTGGTAAGATGATGCCATTTGCAGTTGTGTTTGGATTGATTTTACATTTCTTGAGCAGCTTCGGGTAGTTGAGGAACTGGGTTCCGGTGCCTCCTGGTACAGCATTGGCTGGTACGGTCGCAACACAAGGATGATCTTTCATCTCATCGGCTATCTCATCGGCCAGGCATCCCGCTTGCTTGTTTTTGGTTAAGGCTGGGAGTTGTAAGGAGTTTCTGTAGCTGTTTAGACCTTGGAGAAGATTATCTTCTTCTTCTGCAATGTATAAAGATTATTAACTACTTGCCAAAAAAAAAAAAAAGGCATTTTGACGAGGAAATCATGAACCAAATTAAATTTTGGTGTCCATTACTCCTCTCATTGGTCAAGTTCTAGATAAGCGAAAACCGGTTGGTGCTAGCTACAAAGTATTGGCCACTCAAGCAAGCTAGAATAGCTAGATTTCTTTGGAGACTTGTTTGTAAGTAAGTTCATTGGTTATAACACGGTCAATAGTTCATACTTCCTACATATTGATAGTTAATACAACATACCTATTGATAGAGTATAAAAAATAAACGAACTATTCCTAGAACTTCAACCATCCGCTTAAGAATTTGAATTCATACTCTTATCACAAATAAATTAGTTTTCATCGTTTCTTCATGAATCTATCAGTAATTAATCATAAAAATTATGCTAATTTCTCACCAATAAAGTTAATCATACACTTTTAAATCATCCATTCTTTAAAGACCTTCCTTTTCGTTTAAGCTAGTTTCACTTTCTTTTCCTCTGGTTTTCCTGAATGCTAATAATATAAGACACATTCTTTCTCCTATCAAAGCAAAAAAGGGCACACTTTTAATTATATTCCCCCTTTTCCTAGATTTCATTAGTACAACAATTGATCAAGTCATAAAGAAGATTAGAAATTCAATATTGCTTCATGAATTTTGAAGCTACAAAACACAAATTTGAGCCTAGATATGCAACACTAATAACCCTAGCTATGGTGTAACCAGCTACATACAAAGCGGGTGTACACCAACTATAAGGTTGGATGTGCTCAATGGCGCGGCATATATATTATTGTCAATTCTAGTGAACAATGCAAAGAAATGTTATCTAGCTCCACCTTCTCCTTAGCAAGTCTTACTTCAACTCAAATGACCTTTCCTCACATGAATATATTATGACTTTTGAGAGAATATAATTAGTGTTGAATAGGCTAATTTATATACAACAAACTTTTAAATAAATCAGATATACAATATTTATTGTACATCCATTATGAAGTTACAACTAAAATGAGCAAAAATTACCCTAAAATAAATAAAAGTTACCCTAACATAAATAAAAGTTTTGAAGTATTTATGCTTTAAGAGTGACCATAAATTTGATAAAAAGTGACCCCGATGTACCGTAAATCGGATGTACCATATATTTTATGTTAAATTTTGAAAACATTATTGTACTGTCAATCAAAAAAACACAAACAATGTGTAACTAATTGAGTTACTCGAACTCCATATCTAAGTTGTAACTAACTAACGACGCTACACAATTATTTTTACTCCAATAATTGGGCATAGAACCTAGAACATCAAGAGAAAAATTACAACTTCATTATATATACTACTCGTAACTACTAGTAACGTGACAACTAAATCCGAACATGTCGTACATAGTATATTTACATGTAAGAGCAACTAATTAAGGAACATAAGATCAAGAAGTAAAGAGTTAACTTACCATCATCACAATGAACCGGGACAAAAAGCAAAAGATAAGCATGAAATAGAACCACAAAGAAAAAGGAGAATTTCTTAGTCGCCATTTTGTTTTTTATCCAATTACTCAATAATTATCCACTTTAATTGTTGATCTTCAATTATAGTTTAAGCAACCTGCAACACATAAATACAATAATGTAACTCTAATCATGAATTGAAATTCAATTAAATAAAATTGGATTAACAAAAATATTAACTTGGGAAACTTACCTAAAGAGTTATGGCTTTGTTTTGAGTTATGAATCTAAAGTAAAATGATGCAATAATAGTTTAAGAAGAATTATAAAAAAAAAATAAAAAATAAAAAAGGTGCCGTTGAATGTTTAAACACGTTGCATACATGCATGGTGAATAACTGATTCGTCAACAAAACAATATTTATCCACTTTCAAAATGTTGTTGTAATACTCGATCTTCACGCTTTAACTTGCCATGCACTAGTGATTTTGTTTATAAAATTACGTATTAAGCCACGTGGCAAGCATGCATGTTAACAATATTGAAATTTCAACATGTATGTAATGTTAAAGTGCAAACACATACCATAGCTAGCATCTAGTTTAATGGATAACCCAAATTTCATTTTGGAAAATTTGTTTGTTATTAAGGTTTAGCATAAATTAAATTATCTTATTTTAATTTAGACCTGTTGATATTTACTGAAGTAAGATGAACTGAATTGATTGAAGCTGAATTAAACTAAACTGATTGGAGCTGAACTGAACTGAGCTAAAATGAATACTTTAGTAGAGAGGGAAATTAGAAGCTGAACTGAACTAAACTAAACTAAAATTAAGTAAATGTGAACAGACCCTTATTCACCATTTTACCACCTAGCTTGTTGTATACTTCGTAATATTATGAGCAGAGGTATCAAGTGAGCAAAAATTTAGGTGCACATGACTTATGAGTGAGTGATTGGATGCATATAAACATATTAACATGTATTTTCACATCAACTTTGTAAGAAAATGTAACTTGGACTATAAAGAGAAACGATTATTCTAAAACATATTGCAAGTAAATCGTATTCCACTAGAGTTTTTAAAACCAATAATATTATCTATAATTAAAAGTGTTGTTAGATTAATAATGGTTAACGAGTAGTGCAATAGGGGTGTTTCTGACCACGCATGTACATGGTGGTCGATTGTAAAGGGTCCCTAAATCAGGGGCGAATCCAGGAATAAAAATGTATGAGAACCAAGAAACGATAAAGTAACCCAAAAAAAAAAAAGCAAAAAAAAAAGGCTCAAAGTGGGGAATCAAACTGAGACTTCTATATCAACAAGTACCATGAAATAAAACTCCAACAAACCAACTAGGCTATCACTAACATCATGAAGTGTAGGATAAATATTAGCTATTTATTATTTTTTCTAGGGGGGCAAACTAAACATTACATATATCACCACTTGGGCCACGGAGGGCCGGGCCTCAGCTCCACCAGCCCCCCTTGGCTCCGCCCATGTCCTAAATGAAACTATTATATAAAGGCCCCAATATTTGAAATCTTCTTATACAAAATTAAGAGAAAAATTGTTAATCAATAATCCATTCTTCAATTATATCATAAAATTTATAATTTAGTACAAAAAACTTTACAAAAGAGATGATTTTTTAAGGTCCAAATTAACAAAATTACACCGAGCAATTTTCACTGTTAGCATTTGTAGCCCCGCCTCTAATACTGCATGGTGTCATCATAGTGTATTGATCAATGTATGCCTTTTGGTTTTGAAGTGTATGTGTTATTAGGATTTGATTATATCTTCTAAAATTCTATCTTAATCTAATTTGAGTTTGAGGTATATTGTTGACCTTACATGTTTTGATGATGACTCAAGGAACCTAAGCAAACCTATAACAAGTTTAACTTTCGGTTTTAGCTTTGTTTATGACAGGTTTGTGCTAGGAAATTCTTGAGTGAGAAGGGAGCATGGAACAAGATCAGAGCTAGCTATGGAAGAATAAAGAAATCAATCAAGTCGTGTTCCTTGAAGGGAACTGAAGCTCAAGAGTTTAAGCTTCAAAGGAAAGTTCCTTTGGTGAGGAACTGCAGCTTCAGAGTCGAAACTTCTCAGAGTATCAAGGAGTCTAATGTATTTTATCTTTACTTTAGGCAACTTGTATTTATGTTAAGTACATTACAATTGATAGGATTTAAGTGGATTTAATTTTAATTTGATAAATATTTTATTTTCCATATTTTAACTTGTTTTAATCTTATTTTGAAAAATATCTTTTTAAGTTAAAATATCTTGTTAGTTAAAAAGATTTTCTGTTTTAATTCTATCCTATTATTTTGGAAAATCTAACTTGGAAAATATTCTTTATAAACGGTTGTTTTACTTGGTCAAGGAAGTTGAGAGAAAATAGGAAGCAGTAAACCACTTCCTTGTAATGTGCTCAGCTTGTTGCCCAAGCATCCACGAATTGCACTTCCTTAGTTTAAGGAAGTTGTGATTAAGTGGTGATTAAGGCAACTACGAATTAACTGTCAAACTCTTTTATAAATAGTCTTGGTTTTTAGTTGGAAAAACACACTTGAGCATTGCAGTCTTTTAGCTTTTGAAAAAGAGTCATAATCCACTTAAGTCCTTGAGTATCTTTGTACTTAGCAATTTAGAGTTTAATCTTTGAGTTGTATTGAGTTAGAGTTTGGGGAAACTCTAAGAGTGTTTTATTGCTTTGAGTGAAGCAAGGAGAAAGAGAGAGAGTTTGAGAGTTCGACTGATTGAGGGATCAGTTGAAGGGAGCTTAAGTTCATAGAGGAACTTGAGTTTAGAGTCTTAATTTGTAATAGGTTGTTTGCCCTATTATTATTAAGAATTGAGTTTAAAATCCCTTGTGGTCGTGGTTTTTCTTCTTGATTAGGGCCAAGAAGTTTTCCACGTAAAATCTCTCTTTGCACTTTTAGTTTTTATTTGAGTTCCTTTATAAATTCCGCAAAAATTACCCTAGTTCCTCTACAATACAATTCACCCCCCTCTTGTATTGTTCATTCGAGTCAACATATATGCCTTTTTAGTCTAGCTAATTAATCTTTTGGCTTAAACTATATGTTTCTAATTTGGTTTTTTTATTAACAAGGTACACATATTTCATATGCTAATGCGACTATACACTCGGATACACAATGCCCACTATACACTCGGATACACGATGTTCACTATACAACCGGATCATAAACCAAGCGTTGAAGTTACATAGAGAACAAAAGCGGTGAATATGGAAGGGAAAAAAAAAAAAGGTTCCACAAACAACACACCCTAAAAACATGGAAAAGAAAGTAGCTAGAAATCCACAAATGGAAAACAAAGTTCCGTTTCATTAGACGTGTCCTAAGGCAACGATCACCACGACACACGTAACTCTTATTACCATAGACACGTACTTTTCTAATTTGCATTCCCAAATTCTCTCTCTTTTTACATTTCTATTCCCATGCAAAGCAAAATAACATCATGTATAAATTAAAAGCTAGAAGCTTATTAATTTCATGTAAATCAAAGCTTAATTAAATTATAAGCTAAAGTTTATTTTATGTTATTACGTGGAGTGGTGTTATCTAGGGTGTTAGTAGGAGCAACCACAAGTAGTGTATGTGTTGGACTTGGTAGTGTGGTTTCAAGAAGTTGCACCTTATATCGGATCAACGGAAGTGGTGGTAGACGGCAAGGGCAGTTGTGCACGGTAAGAATGGCGTCGGGTGGCGATAAGTTTCCGGCTCAAAGGCAGCAGACTCAGCCAGGGAAGGAACATACCATGCATCCTATTCCTGAAGCTCTTCGCCAAGATTATAGGGCCGCTAACAAGCTTCAGGTATAACTAGTTACTCTGTTCGGATTTAGTTGTCATGTTATTACGATTTTAGTTTAAATTCTACTATCAACGACGGTGATTTGTTTGATTTAATGTTTTAAGTCTTCTATATATGGGTGTTATGTTTTTTCTCATAGTTACTTTTGTCTTGTGGATGTACAAACATACCCTATTAGAGTTCTAGTCTTAGCATATTTTATTTCTTTTTTAGCATGTGCTTGGGAATTTCTTACACATGACATAAATTGTTTCTTAAAGTGAGATTAGTTTTGATCCTTTCATGTCAAGCAGACATTTATATTTATTTATTCAAATGACCGACACTGTATAAAGTTTTCTCTTTATCCCTAAATAAAAGTCTCATTTCTCTAAGAAGTTGTCTTGACTTGTATTAAACTCTGATTTTACCTTTTTTATTCACTTTTAATAAATCTATTAAACTCTAGCAAATGAGACTTTTATTTAAAGACAGAGTATTTTTTTGTTTCCTTACCCAGCTAATAAGTCATGTACAATTGTACCTTCTGATGGCAGGGGAAAGTGGCCTTGGTGACAGGAGGAGACTCCGGAATAGGTAGAGCAGTGTGCCAATGCTTTGCATTGGAGGGTGCAACCGTGGCTTTCACTTACGTCAAGGGCCGAGAGGACAAGGATGCTCACGATACCCTTCAAATGATCAAGAAGCACAAGAGCTCCGATGCCAAGGACCCTATCGCGATCCCAGCAGATTTGGGGTACGACGAGAACTGCAAGAGGGTCGTCGATGAGGTAGTGAATGCTTTTGGGCATATTGATGTCTTGATCAATAATTGTGCTGAGCAGTATGAGTGTACTACCGTGGAGGACATTGATGAACCTAGGCTTGAAAGGGTGTTCAGGACTAACATTTTCTCTTACTTTTTCATGACAAGGTAGAACGAATTTAATTACATACAAATTTTGTATTGTAATACAAGTACTATATCCGTTTTAAATTATTTGCAACAATTTGATATAAAGTGTGAGTAGAAAATGTCTGATCGTTGCAAATAATATGAAATGGAGGAAATATATAAAATGTGCCAAGTTTGTGACTTAGGGTTATTCTCATGTTGTTGTATAGGCATGCACTGAAGCATATGAAGGAAGGATCTAGCATCATAAACACTACATCAGTGAATGCATACAAGGGCAACGCTTCGTTGCTAGACTACACCTCTACCAAAGGTGCAATTGTGGCATTCACCCGAGGCCTAGCTTTGCAGCTTGTGGGGAAGGGCATCCGTGTCAACGGGGTTGCTCCCGGACCTATTTGGACACCACTGATCCCGGCCTCATTCGAGGAAGACAAGGTCAAAAGCTTCGGTAGTCAAGTGCCTATGGATAGGGCAGGGCAACCCAGCGAGGTTGCGCCTTCGTATGTTTTCCTTGCTTGCAATGGTGACTCCTCTTACATTACTGGACAAGTCCTCCATCCTAATGGTGAAAAACCGAACCTTCTGTTTTCGATTTCATTTATTTTTGTGATGTTAACTTGGTTTGGGCTAATGTATGTATGATCATGTTTGTTTCATGTGTGCAGGTGGTGTTATTGTGAATGCTTGAATGGTATTTTGCTATGTGTGCTGTTTTTTGGGTTTCGAGGATGTTTACAGACATTAACATGGTTTAATCTTGTTGGTGTATCTTCCTAACTAAGTACCATCAGAGTACATTACAATGATATTAATAATATGTAAGGTAATAATATGTAAGGTTCTAGATGGACCGACGGTTGATGTAACAAACGGTTCTTCTTAATCTGTGTTATTATGCTGAATTATCCTCTATAATGTTGCTAAAAGTATAAACTAATGAAGTTAAAGCAACCAGTTTTGTTGTAATAGCTTGCAAAAATACTAAGATGAATATGTTTGTTTCCCAGGTCTTATTTCACATCTCTGACATTCAAGTACTCAGGTTTGATTGCCGAAATCTATGTACATACTTAAATTTCAAGCACTCTGTTTGAAATTTAAGTTATAAGCTGTAAATTTCAAGCACTCTGTTAGAAATCTAATTTTTAAGCTGTGTGTTAGAATTGTAAGTTATAACTTATAAGCTATTACTGTTTACCAAACAGTGAAACAGGCTGTGCAAAGATAAAAACAGTATTGAACATACTAGATTTACCAGGAAACCTCAAATACTACTTTGAAGCGGAATGTTCCATATAAAAGAAATCTAATGTACCTGTCTTTGTAACTGCTAACCAACTATGTTGCTACCTTGCTAAAACCAGGAGCACGCGTTCACAAACTTGTTGGTCTTACCTTAACCTTGTAAACTCCTTATATACTCCACAAAAAAAATTTGATATCATATTCTAACGAATCATCTAACATTCTCAAATCATTTTGGGGTTAATGCTTTGTTGTTGTATTCTAACGAATCCAACACTTTTAAAGGGTGTGAGTGCGAGCAACATAATATACCGTACAAAAAATTGGCAACACCACCTTACTACTAAAAACTTGTACAGTTGTGACTTGTGACAGACTTTCTGAATTAAAAAATTTCATTCGGGCAACAAAGAGCAAAACTATAAAGTTGTATGCATCAGTTAATAGCCGGCCACAGCGGCCAAGAACCTTACTTCATGATACAATCCAACATGACAAAATTCTCACTTTTGACAGTAATGACTATTGCATAAATCACAATATTAAACGGAGACGTTTTTCTCATATAACTTTGTAAGTGATTAGCTTGTTTTGCTTATAAAACAAGAACAAGGAGAGAACACGACACCGTGCAATCCCATCAATCTAATCAGTTCATTTACTTTACCATTTTGCTTAAGCAACTCAAGTTATTACATTATAAGTTCAAATAACATCATTGACGTGATTATTAATTCTGGACAGACGGATTATTTAGGATGCAATTTTGCCCCGAAAGCGGTGATTGAGATGAGAAGTCTCTCAAGGAAACTCTAGAAGTTCCTTCACAGGTGAGACCCAAAATCCCTCTTACAGCATACATCATCCAAATCTGAAGTTTCACTTCAGCTAACAGACGTGTCCAGTGACAGTAATCTGCATGACACATATATTCTCCAAGTCCTCTGTACGTTGCAGTACTATCCCTTCCTCAGATAAACATCACTACACCAGTCCACTACAAATAAACAAAGAGCCTCACCTAAGAAGTTCAATCCAATTCCACAAAGAGTACTGTCTTTTGTGTTTTAGTACCATCTTCTAGTTTTCCTACTTTGGTTACTCAAGTGTTGCTAAGAAGAAGTTTTTACTAAGAAAAAATGGCGACTAACGGGCGAAATTTCCCGGCACAGAGACAAGAGACTCAGCCCGGGAAACAGCATGTCATGAATCCTGTCCCTGAAACTGGTCACTATGAGTACAAGCCAGCCAATAAGCTCCAGGTATAATCAGAAACATACTCCCTCAGTCCGGAATTAGTTTTACACGACTCTTAATCTCTCATATCACTCTTATGTCTTATCATAGTATCATTAGTATGTGTGTATAACACGAAATGTTTTATATTACCTCTGTTTCATATTATTTACAATGATTTGGCATAAAGTGCGAGTAGAAAATGTCTACTCGTTGCAAATAATATGAAACGGATGTAGTAATAAATTTTCTGATTTCAGCTAATGGTGTGTGATGACAGGGGAAAGTGGCTCTGGTGACAGGGGGAGACTCAGGGATAGGAAAGGCAGTGTGCCACTGCTTTGCGCAGGAGGGCGCAACCGTAGCATTTACATACGTCAAGGGGCGTGAGGACAAGGATGCTAGGGACACCCTTCAACTTATAAAGAGTGTTAAGGGCTCTGGAGCTAAGGAACCCATAGCAATCGCGGCAGATTTGGGGTATGATGAGAGCTGCAAAAGGGTGGTTGATGAGGTGGTTAACGCCTTTGGGCGCATAGATATCCTGGTCAATAATTGTGCTGAGCAGTATGAACGCACAACTATTGAGGAGGTTGATGAGCAGAAGCTTGAGAGGGTGTTCAGGACTAATATCTACTCCTATTTCTTTGTCACAAGGTGAGCACTTAAACTATACAATTAAACTACTACTAATAAAGCTCTCACAGTGGATAATAACTTCACTAATACTGTGAAAAATCATCTATTGTAACTCCACTTCACATCACAGAAGCTACTTCAGGGTCACCAGAGATAATTTCACTCATTATTTCTAAAAACATAATGTTAACTTTAAGAATATCAAACAGGTAACTATAGTGTGACCTTAGATATGTTCCCTTTTTTGGGATCTTTTAAGAATAATAAATAATGAATTATGGTTTTTTTTTTTTAAAAATTCTGTTTTATGGATTTTTTGCTTGATCTGTTGAGTGTTGACCATGCATTATTTTGACGTCAGCTTCTGTGAAATGATGATTTCAGAAGTTGATTAGTAGTAAAAGTTTTTTCCATACTTAAAAATTAAGTACATATTGAAGAAAGTTAACCAAATATGACTTTTCATGTAAATCAAGAAAACAATGACACTACAACCATTCATATTTGTTTTCTATTGACTTCACTGCAGCTTGATTATTACTCAAGGAAACTGTTAAAACATAGGCATATGAGTTAAACATAAAAGAGTACAATAAAACTGAAAATTATGCCTTTTTCCTATGGTAATTACTCATGTTTCATTTGGGATATAATAGACGCCACTGCCAAATCTGCCACGTATCGACGTTTTATTTTCATGTATGTATGTATGTATAGGCATGCTCTGAAGCATATGCAACAAGGGTCCAGCATCATCAATACAACATCAGTTCTTGCATATAAAGGGAGTCCAACATTGCTGGACTACACCTCTACCAAAGGAGCAATTGTGGCCTTCACCAGGGGCCTAGCACTCCAGCTTGTGGAGAAGGGCATTCGTGTTAATGAGATAGCCCCGGGTCCTATATGGACTCCCCTGATTCCGGCCTCATTTAAGGAGAAAGAGGTTGAGAGCTTTGGTTCAGAGGTGCCCATGAAGAGGGCAGGGCAGCCTAGTGAGGTTGCGCCTTCTTATGTGTTCCTTGCTTGCAATGCAGATTCCTCTTACATTACAGGGCAAACTATCCATCCTAATGGTATAGTCATCAACATTTCTTCAGAATTTGAGGTCAAGTATTATTTGATTTGTGTCGTAATCAGTCGTATTTTTCATCCTATTTGTGCAGGTGGTGTTATTGTGAATGGCTAAAAACGTGAAGAATGAAACACGGTTTCTGGTGTGAGGTATATAGAACTTTCAAGAGTGCATCTATGGTCTAGTTAATGACTTAGTGCTCTGTTTTACTATAGTTTCTTTTCCTTAAGGTTGTGTGTATTCAAGAGGATGACATACCTTCTTTGAATGCGTACCAACAAAGTACATTATGGTAATAAAAGCTTATGTTTCATCTATCAATAAAATTTTCATTCCCAAAAATTATAACATATTGTTTTCCAAGTACATGTTGTTTAAGCTTATTGTCCATAATTTAGCAACAATTGTTTAGACGATTTAGGGCCTCATGCAACATGTAATTGGGACAAAATAACTTGTATAAGCATTGCACCAGTCAAATTTGATGGTCTTCCAACATCACATAACATTTCTTTCCACGATAAATTGAAAGGCTAAAAACAACAATAATTTTACATCTTCAAGCTACTCAAGTTTTTGATACCTACATCGAGATTCTCAAATTTTGAAGGATTATAAAGAGAATTTCGATGCAATGAAATAAAAAATGAGCATGGCAGCTACAATAATGGAATTAATGTACAACATATGGTACAGTGGGAAAAAAAATGACTTAAATTGGTACAATCAGAATCATTCAACAACAATGTTAAGACTCACAATGGCTCCTGAGAATGCACTGCTCAATTTTGGGCATTATCGTTGAAGCAAACCTCCATGCCATTGCCACCAATTCCAGCGATGAAGCATTGGAAGCCGCAGGATTCTAGCTCAGCAACCACTTTATCCACCACAATGCTAGACAGAACTGAATTATATGGGTCAAGGAAAAGGACATTAATTCTGTGTAGAAATTAATTGTAAGGGTAACCATCCCTAGCATGAATTCGACTTAATTTGGGTGGCATTTCATCAGTATATAAGTTAAGTGTAAGTATAGATGAAAATCAAGACATTATAATATTTATAAAGGATACTCGTTGGCAATAGTGTCAGTACACAGCCTCCGCCACCAGCTCCAGTCAGCTTGGAACGTAGCTTGTATTTAAGCGTTGTATGGAGAACCGTCTCTATTGTAGTATGGCTCACTCCCATACACTGAAGCAATCCTTGGTTCATCTCCATTAGTTCTTCCACCTTTTCTTCCTTTTCAGTGGCTGCAATGTCATCAAGAGCCGGTGTTTGTATGATATCAGACAAATCCTTGCTGATAGAGTCAACAGCTTTAAAAACAGAAGCCATTGCCTCAGGGTGGCGCAGTGTCCTTTCTGACACACCAGCAACTAGTGCTTTTGTGTTTCTCCCTACCTTAGTATTTGTAATTAGCATCTTTAATGGTGTATTCGCCTTGAGCCTTGTGATTTCACCTGACCTGAATTGTATCATATTTCCTGCATAACATATCACTGGATGTTCAGTCATCTCCAGACTCAGAGAGTATGTTTATAATGCACAAAACAGGCCATAGAAGATCTGAGTACTAATAGTAAACCAGGATGTCAAGATGGTCCTCAATGTTTTCTAAATTTCAAATTGGTGTTCAAGATATATACTTAATAAAAGTAAAAGATATCGTATTGGTTTTCCTTTTATACATCGTAAATGTATCAATTTTTTGCGTATGGTACTAGTTTTGGTTTGTTAAACACAGTTGAGTCATTTCCTGAACATTTGAGTAACTGCACAACATACTGACAAGGAGATGCCTGTCTTATTTAGGTAATGTTGCTTTATTTAATTCCTTCAATAAAGGTGACATATTAATGTAGAGGGAATTGAAAGAAGGGCAATTTCAGTCTTAATGTGTGGTTGGGACACTTAATCTTCAAAACCCAACAACCAATGGCAGGCCATAGCATGTATTAGTAATAGACACTAATAGACTACCCATATAAGGATACTTCACACCTTTGTCAAACATGTTGGTCTGTAAGACACAACCTTGTACTTCATAGAACATTAAAATAACATAATATCAAGAGCCAGTCTTTGGTAAGATAGTTTTACATTAACTTATTGTGAGACATAAAAAGGTAAAAAGATAAGTCATCCTTATTACTCCTATAAGACAGTTTTAAGAGCCAAGAATAATATCATATCAAGAGAAAATTACCTCAATGCCTTTTGATAGAAATTTAAAAGAAACATAAGATTGGCATTGCAAGAATCTACGGAATAGGATGACATACCAAAGGTGCTTACTGTATTGTCAATGCCAGATGGTCTTCCATGAATTATCTTTTCGCCTTCAAAAGCCCATTTGTTTACTAGGTCAAGCTCGCTATTTTTCAAAGCTATCCAACCTTGCTGACTATAGTCAAGCTCACAAGATTCTGACAATGCAAGAAGGGCACCTGAAAGTGCTACACAGAATGCAGCAGATGAACCCAAGCCTGCACCTAGAGGAAGTTCAGATGTCACAGTCACTGTTGCAGGTTTGTACCTAAAATACAAATATAAGTTGAGAATTCAACCATTGGTAGATATAAACTGCTTAACAAAACTAAATGTTGGGTAAAAACAGCACAACAATATTGATTGCATGGATTTGCATCTAAGAATGCAGCTTTCTTCAGCAACATATGATTGGAGGAGTAAGGGACAATATCACAAACATACCCTTGGGTGTTGGTGTATAGCCAGATAAAGGCCAACACTCCAGAAGCCAATGTTATTTTTGCCTCTGGAATATTTTGCCCTTCATAGAGTGGTGCCATTGACTTAAGGGTTTCTGATGAACAAGATAAGGGTGTCGAAGGTGAAGGGCTGTCAAAACCTGGAAGTACTTCTTTGATTCTTCCTATTGGCCAGGAAAACTCTAGTTCCATGTCCTTGAGATCAAGCTTAAGTGTATCACCTATTTCTGTACAAAATCAGGACAGCTAAATTAAAAAAAAAAAAAAAAAAATCCCTTTAATATCTATGTATTGACAACAAATTGAACATAAGGCACTAGCAACAACTGAAAAGCAAGGTTTTTGTCACAAAAGCTCTTTGGTAGTTCATTGCCCAAAAGAACCAATGAAAGAGCATTATTTTTATGGAGTATTCTTTTCATAACGATGAAGGTTCGGATGTTTTTGAACTGCTCAAAAGTCCAAGAATGAAATCAATAAGGCATCACAAACATTGCAAAATGATGACTAGAAATCACTTCAATACCACCTAGCATATGGCAATTCATACATGCCACCACCATCAATTCCCTGGTTCAAAATCATTATTTCCTCGGATTTTCAATTCGAGACATTAGTTTTAATATGTCTCATTATGACAATAACTTCACCCCTTGATCATGTGCATTATCAGAATTTCTTCAAAGTTTCAAAACAATTTTTTTTTTTCCAATTTTGGGCATGCCATATAGTTAATTAGTAATCAATGATAATGAACGAGCCCTTAGTTTTCACAGAATTTCCATCGCTATTAAGCGAAAATCACTTGAAAACAATTCACTCCAAAGTTATCCTATCACATGATTATACTTTCCAACAACCATTTTAACTAAAAATTCTCTAGTTACAATTCCACCCAAAATCCATCATTAAAGCTAACTTTCAATTTTCAAACACAATTAACTAGAAAAGCTCATTTCCCTACTCATAATCAAAAAGCTTAAATCAATACAATGAGCAATATACCATTACAATCACAACAATCTAAATCCAACTACCCAGATACACATTATCCAAGAACTAATTGACCCAATTCAAAAAACACAAACTTGATCAAAATCAAACAAAGAGAAGCACATTTTATGTCAAAATTACTGTATTGAAATCATGAATAAGCAGAAATCAGAAAGAGGAGAGAGAAGGGAAAATGTTACCGTGGGAAAAGAGAATAGATACGGAAGTGTAGAGATTAATGGAGGCGGCGACGGCGGTGTATCCGTGAACGACGGCGTGTTCTCCGGCGAGGATGATTTTTCCGGGAGCTCTAGCTCTGACCTCCATTCTACCCATCTCTTTCACTCTGATTTAGAGAGAGAGAGAGAGAGGGGTGTGTCAAGGTGTGATGGTTGTTGGGAGTCGTTTTTTGTGCTAACTATATACAAGTATGCAAAATATTTCCCACGAGGATTATTTGCATTGGGGGTGAGGGTCTCGATTCTCGGGTGCGTCGGAAGGCTTTGTTTGATTCATCTTATTTTGTTTAAATTATACGAGTATAAAGTACTTCGTAATAGACTATTATGAGGTACTACTCTCTTCATCTCTAGATGAAAGTGAATAAAATAATAAGATGGAAATTGATGGTATTAATAGAATTGTGGGGTTTGATTGGTTAAAGTGAATCCCTACCTTATAAAAAGTAGAAACATACTCTTATGAATAGTGTAATGCTGATTATACCCTTCAAAATGTGTATTTACATACATACCCTCATTAATATGTAGATGCTATTTTAATGAATAGTGTTTAGACAACTTTACCCTCTAAAATATTTATGTACTTTTATGCTTTCATAAATGTTAGTTGTCTTGAACATTTATACCACCTAAATATAGTTGATTACATATTTTCTCTTATTGTTTTTTTTTAGGAAAAATTTCTCTTATTGTTAATTTAACTAATTTTGTGATTTAAAAGCCAAACCAAAAAAACCTTCAAGATATGGCTAGCTATGACGCACGCATCGCGCACGTTAGCTGCCCTAGTGAAAATAAAAATAGTGATTTGGTCGATTAAAATAGGGATATATAAACTGATTAAGGTGAAATGAGACTTTAATTTGAGATTAGATAGAGTAATTGTATTCCATATTAATATTTCTAAATTGATATTATCTGAAATTTTTACACTTTAAAGGGGACATGTCATATCTTATTTGATTTCAGAAAAAAATATGAGAAAATTATTATTGGATTGAACTTTGGATTTGCTAGGATATTTGATTAGTCTAAGATTGCCTACCTAGTAAATGTATTTCAACTTGCTACCTAATATTGTAATTCAATTTTCTTTGATAATAATACATAAATAAGATGTTTTAGATGTCATGATATATTTAGTAATCTAATTTACAAATCTCACATGTTGATAAATCAAAACAAATCCAAAATTATCCAAGTGACAATGGACATTTTTTCATAAATGGCGAGCCAAACACGCTGCACGGCCCTTCTCCTCGTGCACCACGAGTTAACATCAAGTGGGACCCACGTCCTAATGTTTACGTTTGGGTTTTGACTTTTCACCCAAATATCATATAATTCATATGGGCCGTGCGGCCCATGTCCTTTTACTTCCCCCCCCCCCAAAAAAAAAAAAAAAAAAAAAAAACTCTATTCTTGAAGTTTTTTCTAACTAGTTGTGCCACTATGTGACTATTATAGTCCTCTTTTTTGACCAATGAGTAAGACTTAGGAAGGAAGAAGAAACAACCATTCAGTTGGGTGACTAAGGAGTCAAGTAAAAGTCGAAAGAACTTTACGAAACAAATGGAAATGAAACGGTAGATTTTCACGAATTAAAGGGAGTTGTACATACACCCGAGTACACATATAGGTAGATAGGTGCATCAAGTTGCTATATTTTGCTGATTTGATATTTCTTTCTGATTTTAAATATTTTAAAATGAAACAATAAGAGCAGAATAATACCTACTAATGCAGGCATACATCCAAATGCATATAAGAACTTTCAGCGTTGTTGGTGTACTAATAAATGAAAATCAGGGACACTCAACAAGGCAAGAACATAAACCTACTCAGACCACACATAATCAATCCATTAATGATACAAAGAAATACATAGTTATTTATGTTAATTTTGAGTACGATTTGAGAAATAATCACGAAAATAAGGCATTCAATGGAATTGCCAACTCTAGTTCAGACAATGGAATCAATACCCTCTAAAGAGTTCATTATTAGCCATTTCAGATACATTTTGGCGAAGACTGATCATGATGTACAATGAAGATGTTGAGAAAAGGACATTATATATCCCAATTCCCAAATTAAACTAGGATTCACAGGTTCGAATTTACAGTAGCATCGACATGTTCCTTCAGAGTTTCACACAGAGTCTCCACAAGATTGAGTAGGAACATATCTGAACCGTGTTTAGCCAACAGAGATACAGACACAGGAAGACCGTCATACAATCCTAATGGTATACTTACCTGCAAAAGAAAGGGATGTTATAGTCATGAAAATGGGAAGTTAGAGGAGACAAACAAATGAATGAAGATTTTGATGCCTTGTCTTTGCTTATGATAGAGGTAGAACCTGACAAAATCCAGATACTCCAGCAATGGAGAGTAAGCTAAAAGCTCTAGCTCGGAAAGTTTCTAATGTAGATGGCGGAGTCTGCAATTTTGGTGGTGGACCAGGAACAGTTGGGATTGCAAGGATACCAGCATTCTACAGATAGAGTACAAATCTATCAGCTAAAAATCAAAGGAGAAAAAGGAAATAGTGATCTAGTGGAGAACCAGAATATTATGAGGAGGAGCTAAAGCATTCACCAATATGTTGGCAAAAATTGAAGTTTGAGGTTAAGCTACTAAAATGAAGGATGGAATTATTGATAACTAGTCATAGAGATTACCCCCAGGAGGGAAGTAAGTGCCATTCGCAATTCAGTCTTGATAGAGTGGCAAATGTCAATGTTGTCATTATTAGAGAACACGGCTTCCCAAATTCGCTCCTTTAGTCCTGGCCCCAAATTAGGTTTAATGGAAGAGACCCATTCACCATGATTAATCTTAAACTCATGCCTACACTTCAATAAAAATTGAATAAAAAGTCGACATCTGAAACAGTATGATTATATGGCAAGATAATGGTAACATACTGCAATCAACTACTCCAGACTTGATAAAATTAGTACTGGACCAATTCACTAGCTAGTTGCACCTTTGTAGTATTCGCATGGCACTTGAAAGGGAAACCAAAGATGGTATGCTGTATTCTTTTGTATCACCACCTTGGCCCATGAAATGCTTCAGACTAGAAACATTTTCCTCTACATAGTCCCCTAGGTCCATATATTTCAAAACCTGACCTGAAATAATGGTTAAAGAAGTTCAAACAATTTGTTTACTACTGAAGTTTTTACTAAATAATTCCTACTGACATGATATCATATGGCTAAGCTTTTGCAGAGCATGAATTCAATTTGATAGAAAGAACTAAATACTGAAAAATAGCTGAACCTAATATGCAACTCCGTACAAAAATCAGATGACTAACCTCCAAAGACTTTCTCCACGGACTTCACTAGAACTTGTTTTACTCTATCAATTGGGATGTTTAGAAGCTTGAAGCAATCTTCAGCGATTATAATTGGACTAGGGCTCACAAGATGTGGATCAAGGGGAGGAAGTAACACATTTCCTACTTTCTTCAAGATTGATGGATCCCTTGCAAACCATCCTGAGATATAGCTTAATTTTCAATAAACGTGATGTAATTTAACACGCATGTAATTGCAGTATCTCATGAGTGATGATCACAATTATAAACATGCTTAACAGAAAGTATAGGTATCGCCATATTAGACATCATATTGTCGATTGAATCTGTTGATGCAGTTCATGCATTTTGGCATCTTGTACTACTCTACCACAAAATTAAACCTTTCCTTTCAAGACGTCTATAGTGCACTATTGCATTTTGCATGACTTATCACATAGTCGAATCTTTACCGACTGTATCAAAACTCTGTGCCATAGGAACAACACCATCAACAGAGACAACCCCATGTGAAGGCCGAATCCCATATATTTTACAGAATGCTGCTGGGACTCTTACACTTCCTCCAGTGTCAGTACCTAAAGAGGTGAAAGAACTACAGATTAATGGTCGCTGACTTTTAAAAGGCAATTGTATTGTTTTAAAAAGAGAACTTTGACACACCCAAAGAAAGATCTACGATGTTTGTACCAACTGCAACAGCAGAACCACTAGAAGATCCTCCAGGAATACGATCTGCTGCACATGGGTTCTTAGGGGTACCATAATGTATGTTTTCTCCATTTATGCTGTCAAAGAAATTGGCAATGAATTGTTCAGCATTTAATCACATATATCATGTAGATAATGATAAAGGAAAGAAGGCTAGCCATTGAAACTCATCACAGGATCTTTGAGGCTCTGACCCTAAATGTCCATTAAAAGGTAAAATGTCCATGGACTGTATAATGGCTTTGCATACACATGTAATCATTGATCGCTATACTCTATTGCGGTCAAAGATATAATCCTTCTCAAATTCTCAAATGAATCTCATTTGAATAAATGAAAGAAATGAATCCACAAGTACCCTCAAGTTATGATTTGAAAAGCACTAAAGAACCAGAGAACAAAGATTGATTGCATAAACTGAAAAATATTGTGTTGGGATTATACTATAAGTCTAGAACTACAAGGCCTATTTTTACAAGTTTGTAGGATAAGAGGAATACTTTTTCGGAATGGAAAAAATGTAAACAGTAAACCATTTCCAAAATGTTAGCCCCAAAATGTTCAAGAATGATTTCTTGGCCTTTTTGACTAAAAAAAAAGTAAACAATTAAGGCAGTAGTGAGTAATATCCAGTGGCAAGCCCATTGTTAACAACTAAATACTACCTCAAGTTTGAATTCTGCTGAAAGTTCAGCTCTTTATGTAACCAGGATTATTGCTAATGTATTTGTTAACTGTTATACCATCACACTTCATCAGAGAGAATTCAATCCACTAGCCAATGATTCAATGAAACAATAAACAGACCGAAAAATCTACATTCAACCATGTTCACAGGAAGACTTTTAACAATCAAATAAGCCAAGAATTAGGTAAAAGTTCTCTTCAAAAGTATATCCAGTTGAAATAATTCCACATATTATGCTTAACATTTACAACCTCACAATAAACTACATATAAAAACCCATTTGCTGAATCAGATAGATTATAATCATAGTAACTCGAAAATCGAAAAAAAACTAACCTGTAAGCCATTTCATCCATGATTGTTTTACCAACACAAGTAGCACCAGCCTTTAAAAGAGCCAAAACTGCAGGAGCAGTGGAATTGGCTTTTGTATGCGTTCTTGCCCAATCAGGATTCCCAAACCCAGTTACTAACCCTTCCATATCAAATCTGCCCTTCCAAAACACAAACTTTATCTTAAATTAAGCAATAAATTGAAAATACTAACAAATTACAGATATATTATACAATCAAATGTGTTCAATTCTTGGGCACATTAATAAAACCTGGTTGATTCGTGGAAAACTATCAAATGGGAAATTACAATTGCAAATTCACAAGTACAACAAACATAGTCTTAAATAAATTGCAATTAAAACCATCAAATGGAATTCATATAATTTATGAAATAAAGACCCAAAATTTAAAGTAAAAAAATTGAACCTGGGTAAAAAGAATTAATCATCAAAAAAATGGAGGAAAAAGAATTGAAATTGAAGCAAGAGGGTCGAATTACTGACATATCTTTGACAGCAAAAGTGTAACCAGATAAAGGAAGGTCCCCAGAAGAAGAAGATGGAGGTAGTGTGAACTTCTCCATGAAAGCTCCATTGTCAGACTCCATCTTTCTCACTCTCTCTTTGGGAAGAACTGGATAGTGCACTCAGGCAACCAAGTCAAATGGCTGATGTACCACAAAAGGATATACGAAGTATAAATCAGTGGAATAATTTGAAAGATAGTGTAGATTACGTGCACTTATGTACTTGAGAAATGAAAATGAGTCTGGGCCACAATCGTAACCTGTTGAGTTAATGAAACCCTGAGAAAGAGAGCTCGATCACTTATAAACTAAACCAATTAGTTATGAAGTGATGAACTTATTTTCGTTCCTTAACGTGCGACTAGCCGATGGCACTTGCACTTATATGTGTGTTCTTTAAGAGAGTTCAAACATGTAATTTACCCAAAAGAAGATATAAAATAAATATCATTCATTCAAACAATTGATGAGGTTCTCCAATCCAAACATAATCAATCAAACAAAATCTATGCACCTAATGCACATCATAAGAAATAATTTTGAATGAGAAAACTTATTTTAAAATAATAAATGAAATTACACTTTTTATATTCAACCAAACGACTACTAAGAGCATCTTTATTGGTGAACCCAAATAAATGGTTCATGGGTCACTATCACCATTTCTCTCTCATCCACATCAACCCAACAAACCATTTACAATATTCACTCTTAATAATGAACACTAAACAATGGTTCATCATCAATACTCCCTACCCCACCTTATTTTATTTTTGTAAATATAATCTTTTTTGTTTCATAATTATAATTTATTAACCCGATGTCAATGTAATTAATTGACGTATTTAATATTTTAATCGTGATTACTAATTAAGAAATTATCGCATTTTTTTATCAGCTTTTTAAAAAACTAATTCTTGTGATTAATATTTTTTAAACAACAACGCAGCTAATTTTAATTAACAAAAAAAAAAGAGGTACAAATCGTGATTACAGTTCTACAACTATAATCTAGTACATTTTATTTTAAAAAAAAAAACAACTACACATCGTTTTGTAAGATGTCCTTAGGGATAACCATTTGTTGTAAACCTAGTTGCCTAAGTTTTCGTTGTTACCAAATTTATTCCATATATGTTCGACCAAGTCGATTTTTAGCTGCAAATGAGTCTGTTGATCCTCAATCTCTGTTCTACGAGACAAGTATAAGTCGATATCCACAATACGATCAGTACGGTACTCGGTAGTGTCCTCATTAGCGTTGCCTCCAGCATTCATAAACTCATTGGTATTAACGTTATTTTGATACGTCTCTCGTTCATCTTCAACGATCATATTATGTATTATGATGCAGGCGAGCATGATATTGTGGAGTATGTCGGTATCCCACGCCAAAGACGGCTTTTTAATAATGGCAAAACGAGCTTGAAGGATCATATTTTGACCCAAATTTTTTTTCTTCTTTCTATTTGTTTTGGGGTTGGTATTAGCATCCATAATTATAATTTATATTTGGAAAAAATAAAAATTTAATAATAATAATAATAACGACAATAATAATAAAAATAATAATAATAATAACGATAATAATAATAAAGGAAATAATAATAATAACGATAATAATAATAAAAATGATAATAATAACGATGATAATAATAATAATAATAATAATAATAATAATAATAATAATATTAATAATAATAATATTGGTAATTATAGAGGGGATTTTTGAAGAGAAAAATATAGTAGAAAGAAATGGATTTTCAAAGTTGAAGAAAGTATAGCAATATGGGTGTCTATTTATAAAGGGGAAAAAAATAGAGTCGTTGGTAATTTTTTTTTTTTTTTATTTGTGTTTTGTAAAATATATCCGTTGCCAAATTACAACGGATTTATTTAAAACAGTGACACGTGTCAAGCAGCGGCTGGGCCAAGTGGCGCGCTCCCAGCCGCTGCTTTTTATTTTTTGTCCTGAAAAAAAATAAAAATGGGTGGGGCCCACAATCCATAAATTCGTCCAAATGCTTGCAGCAGCAATCGATCCCACAACCATTCACTATGAACAATTATAGAGATCACCATTAAGCCACCCATTCACTTGTTCACTCATTGTGAACTATTTTTTTGTTCACCCTTAAGGCTGCCCTAAGATGACAAAGTTATAACTGTTCATATACTTTTAACTTTTTATTGAGCATATCTTTGAATTTTGACTTAATCTTTTATCAAGGGTAAAATGAAATGTTGAGATTATTTTGGCAAATAAACTTAAAAACATTAATCCCATACAAGAAATGGTCAAAAGTCAAAACAATGTTAATAGTAGAGGTGGACAATGTGTCGTGCCTGGTGGTGGCTCGCACCGTGCTGTGTCGTTTCTGCATCTTGGCGTGTCGTGCCGGGCAACCATTTAGTACACCCGAGCCCACGACACAGTCCACGTGTCTGGCGTGTTGTGCTGACCACCGGGCCGCTCATAATATTTTTAATTGTTTTTTTTTGGTGTTAATATTTTTAATTGTTTTTGAACAACTTTAAAATGGATATACTATTTAAATAATTTTATTAATTATGTTTATTTTTTTTATTATTATATTATTGTTGTTTTTTTATTATTCTTATTTTTATTATTTTAGTTCTTTATTATTATTTATGTTATTTTCTGGCCATGTCTGGAGTGTCGCAGGCCAAACTATCGTGCCGCCCATGGGTTCGTGCTGGATTCTTCAAATCGTGTTCACTATACGGCCCACGGCCCACTCCTCGGTCACCGTGCCGTGTCGTGCCGCTGGCGGGCCAATCTCGTGTAAAAACAATTTAAGAAAGTTTAAGAATTGATGAATGACAAGTGTCATATAAGTAAAAACACGCTCATTCATTATGATTAATTGTCATATTAATAGTAGAATTTTAATTAGTTATAACTAAAACCAAACAAATTTTGCACATCAATATAGATTGTATCACCCATAATATATGCATCCAAATTGCATAGTATCTGGTAACTCCAAGTGAAAGGACAGTAATGTTCTATTTCTATGGAAACAATAACAGATACTAACGGAAGGAAAAGCAGAAGAATGGCCAAGCAATCAAAACCTCAAAGAATATTACCGAGTTTTTATATTGAACAATAAAAGCGAAAATCCAATAGTTCATCTTCAAATAGTACAATGATACAACTAACCAATTAAACTGCACAATAGCATAACAAAAAGAAAAATAAATAAAACTAGTTGTAAAAGAAGATATGTATTTCTGCATCACAAAATAGCAGAGAAAACTGGTTGAGTTACATGATGAAATAGCCAAGTGCTATTAATGTTTATCTTCTGTCCAATCAGCATCATCTGAGTCATCATCAAAAAAATATAGGTATGGAGCTATTGGTTCACGCTCTGTGCTAGTTTGTTCATCATCCTCCGTGGTTTCCTCAGGCTTCTTCCAGCCTAAACACTTTCTATAAGCTCTATCATAGGCCTCGACAGTTAGACCTGAGGCGAGAAATAACTCCAGTTCATCAGCAAACCGCTTAGTCCTAGCCGTAAGGAAAGGCAATGCGGCATCAACAACTAATATCTTAAATTCTTCTTGCTTTTGATGCAGGGAATGTGCTTTTCCTTTGGGATGATAGCTGAACATATGCATGGTAATGGCAAAACTAAATTTACTAATCTATACAGTAGTATCTGAGCAATAACCCAATAACTAGAAAATATGCACCTTCATTACTGATCAGCTTTTAAAAAAATAAAAAATTATCAAAGATTGCTGAAGTTACCTTCTTGAAAATGACTCAATCACCCCGAGTATGTGATGCATTATGATTTCAACATCCTCTTCCTACAAAAAATGGCCAATTGGATACCTTATAGCTTCATGCAAGTACACAAATAATATTTACAGCAACACAAAAAAAAAAAAAAAAAAAAAAAAAAAAAAAAAAAAAAAAAAAACAGGAAACTTGAGTCACAACTTACAAGTGACATAATTTACTTGTATTTTTTGTTTTCCTTGTCAAGTTCAGAGATAGAATATAAACAAAGAAAATATATTCAAAATCCAGCACAACTAGGAGCCAATGAATAAGAAATAGAGACTAAGGGGGCACCTGTATGAGAGCTTGTAACTCCCTTTTCAACCATTTCTCAAGCCAGCTGTTGGGCTGAAGATACTTGTGTGACTTCCAATAGCGTTCCACTTTAAATGCATCACTTAAAAGACCTGATTCTGATTTGGTGTAGTAACACTGTAGTCTATACTTGTGATCCTTTGAAAAGAAGGCACTGCATTGTTTGCATGGCATCCAATAGAATAAATTAGGATGAATTAGCATATGGCTTCTTTTAAAATGTCAGACACATTAGCAATCCAATATAATGCAACCTCTCTCAAATACCTATTACCATTATTTTGGTCAATATAATGCCGTTGAAATGTACTTCCATCATATCCATAGATGACTGAAATATTTTCGGTCTGTAAAATTAAAAAATTAGAAATGATCACCAAAAGACTGACTAAAGAAATAATAGGTGCAGATTACACAAATATCCCTTAAATGTCTAGAGTCAATTGATACAACCATATGAGTGATATGACAACTTCAGTGCACATCATTATGATAACCTCTTGGTAAGAAGTGTTCCCTGAAACACATAAAATAGGAGGGGAAATCATACATGAGACTCCATTCCACAACTTCTATTACTAATTGCCATTATCAAAAACATCATCACACAGGTGACAGGTCATTCAGAAAACATCTTCACTCAGGTTTTATACAACTCGATCTCCCTAGATCTCATCAATGGTGGGATTCAAACTTACTGTTCCTGTATCAGAACCAAAAAAATTTGTAATTGGTATGTACACCGACTCACTCATCACTCTTTACACATAGGTAGTCAATTGTTGTCAATCTTGTCGTTGATACAAGTGTATTGCCACCAACTATGTATTAAGGGGTATTTAGTATTCCCTTCATCCCACTTATACAAGCCAAATTTCTATTAAGGGATGTTCCAACTCCCAAAAAGAAGGCAACTTTTCAAATCTAGCAAGTATACATCATATATTTTCCCAGATTACAACTCTTTTTTTTATGATTTGACCTATGCTACCATAATAAAATGTTTATCCTCAATAGTTGTAAGTACATATTATCAGGAACCAGTTCAATAAAATTCCACAGAAATGACCTCTAACTGAATGTGTCCTATTCAGTGAGATGGAGGAAGTAACATCTATTCGTATTCAATATTGAAAGTAAAACCTAAGATAAATTCATATTCTTTGCAACAAACTAACAATCACCACTGCTAAATCACAAGCTTCTACTTGAATAAAACCCCAAACAAACACTAACACCCACAAAACGTAGCAACCCCAAAATTTAAACATAGAATCCCAAAGTATCCCAAAAACGTAAATCAATGTAAATTATGTAACTGTCACAAGCAATTCAACATCAAAAGTAGCAATGAATTTCTATTCATCGATTCGAACCCGAACAGGTTTCTACAATGATTGGGTTGATCTTCAGTGCAGAATTACTCAATTAAATAATTTTCTTCCATTACAAAAGAAACAAAAACTGATTAAAGAAGAATTTTACTGCGTAATAAGAAGGTGAATAAGGACCTTGCATAAAGGGCACTTAACGGAGGATGGTTGGCGCAATGAAGAAGACCTGCTTGAAACTACTTGAGTCCAACGAATTATGCAATTGTAACAAAATTTATCTGCAAATTCATAATAATTTAATACCCATTAGCTTTATTTAATCACCCATCAAGCATAACGAATTCAATTGAACGAAAGATTGATTTTTTTGCAAAATAAATTGAAATTTTCCGGAAATCAAACCCTAATGATGAAATTATGCAGAATTTGAGAAAGAGAGAAGAAGCATACGGAAGCAGCGATCCAAATAGGAGTCTTGAGTAATGAGTCCGAGGCAGATGGGACATGGGTTCGGGCTCGGGCTCGGGTTGGAGGTAGAAGAACTGGGTCCTTCTTCGTCGTCTTTGTTGGGTTCTTCCTGCATCATTTCTTTGCGATTTGGAAGGTGGAAGCGTCCAACTTCAATGGCATCTCCAAAGTCCAGAAATCGCCAAGGATGTTTAATGGAAAATGATATATATAGCTTTTAGGACGACATATATTAAGTTTAAGATTTTTTATTTTTTTAATACGGTAGGGTTAAGCGTTTAATTGGGCTGCTCCTATGATCCTATCACAAGACACTTGACAAGCAATGCCGGGGTAAGGATGCAAGGCGACCTATGGGCAACTGCACTAGGAAGTCTTCCACATAAGATTATTACTCGTAACTTTATAGCATGATTATGTCATGTGTAAAATTATACTAGTAACTGTTTTTAATTGGAATAGGTAACAATTTGTTTTTTGTTTTAAAAAAAAAAATTGGAATAGGTAACAAAAAGGTTAAGCTTGATAGTTTAAAGGTTCAAACTACTACATCCTTACGAATGGTAAATGAAAGAGCGACGATAAGAACCAAGAGAGTTGGGGTACCATCAAAAAGAAATTTGTTGCTAGGTTTGTTTCATGATAGCATTAATCGATTGAGATGACATTTAACTTCAGATTATTTCTCCACTTTAGGGAAGATATTAAGTGTTCCAAACTTCAATAATATAACTGTATTCAACTATTACAGAGCAGAAGTGACATAATCTGCAAACAAAACGATTTCGATAACAAGTGGGAAAGAAACACCAAAAACCATCAATGAACCATAGAACATATTACAAGTAAGAATCTTTGCAAGCCTGCAATCATGAACAACAATTCAACTGATAAACTTCCGAAGCAAGTCCTTTGACGAATCACTTAAGTTACCAGAAGACAAGAGGTCGACAAATAATGAAAAAGTATCTGCATCAGCTTCAAATTTCTTGGCAGTCATAATATCACAATAGTAAAACGCATTTGACAAGTCATTATTGAGAATATATCCTCTGATGATAATATTGTAGGTTCGATCATCAGGGGGACAACCATCTTCATCCATTATCCTCAACACTTGAGCAACTTCACTCATGAGCCCTTTCTTGCAGAAGCCTTTGATCATTATATTGTATGTTCTAATATCAGGTTGCAGACCCTTTGAAACGAGATCAGAGAAGAATTTTGCCGCATCTTCAAGTTGTCCAGCCTCACACAAGCTGTTCATCAGGATATTGTAGATGGAAACATTTGGCTTAACACCATTATCCTCCATTTCTTCAAGCAATATCACAGCCTCATCAAGCTGTGCAGTTTTGCAAAGGCAGTCAAGCAAGGAAGCATAGGTGATGACATTTGGAGCAATTCCATGTGCTCGCATTTCTTTGAACAGCTTATGGACAAGTTGGAGTCTATTGGCTTTGCACAGTCCATCAATAAGAGTGGTATAGGTAACAACATCAGGGGTTATCCCTTTCCGAAACATCTCTTGGAAAATGTTTAAGGCCTTGTCAATGTTTTTAGCCTTGCAATATCCATTAATCATAGTGCTGAAACTTACAAGGTCAGGTTCACAGCCATTTTTGGACATGAGATCAAGTAGGTTATTTGCATCTTCCATCTGACCACGCAAACAATAACCATCAAGTAATGCACTATACGTAAGGATGTTTGGAGCCACACCTCTCTCAATCATGTGCTTTAGTATAGACTGTGCTTGATCAACACACCCATCTTTACAAAACATGTCAACCAGCATGCTGTAGGTCTTAACATCTGGTGCTATGTTGCTCTCTAACATCTCAGTTAACAAACGCTGAACCTCTTCACCACAGCCAGAATTGTAGAGGCCTCGAACCAAGGAAGTATAAGTGACAACATTGGGTTTAATGCACTCAGTTTTCATAGAGGAGAAAAGGTGCAGGGCCTCTTCTAACAGCCCGTCCTTACAAAGACTATCGATAATAGTATTGTATATAACAATGTGAGGTTTATAGCGACATCCAGATTGCATTTTTCTAAGAAAATTGAGAGCAGACGCATTGTCGCCAATCCTACAAAGCACTTTGACAACAGTGCTATAGATAACTAAGTCGGGTTGTAAACCAAGGTTGACAATTTTATTCAACAAATGAGCAGCTTGGGGTAGCTTATTACAGTGGATATAGCCATTGATCAAGGTAGTAAAAAAAACACAATCAAGAGGATAGCCAAGCTTAATTCTTTTACCCAAGAGAGAAAACCCGAAATCGATACCGACCCAAATGACAGTGGCAATTGGCAAGAATACTTACGGAATACATATTGGGTCGAATACCATACGATTCAAGCTGCCTATAGAGGGATATAACTGTGAAATGTGGTCTTAAGCGCTTCAATTTGACAATTGCAGATAAAAGCTGATTGAAATCAATGATAGAAGGAAGAGGGCGTAAAGAAATCATTTGATTGAAGAGGGAAAGGGGAAATTTGACATCAGAAAACCCTAATTTGCATTGTTCTCTAACAGATTGAAGAAACAATTCACGATCATCATCAAAATCAACTAAATTAGTAGCAGGTGTATGATTGGGGAAATAATGCCGGAAATTTAGGTAAGAATAAAGAGGAAGACGAAGAAGGTGGCTATTACCTTTGACGCCATTGAAGAAGGCAAGAGAAGCAGAAGTTGCAACACCATAACCAGAAGAACAAGCTCTGCAATTCATGAAATAATTCATAGTAGTATTTCTGAGTAATCTTCTCCTTCTTCAATCTTTCACTCACTAATTTGTGAATAGAAATGACTAGTAGGACTGTAGGAGGCTAGGTATTATTTTTTGCATTTTTGTCTCATTTTTTTTACTCTCGTCTACTTTTTTTTTTTTTACAAGATCATCTAGTGATTATATTCATTCTCGCACGGTTGTATTATTATTTTATTTTTTTTTTAAAAAACACGGTCATATGTTTTAAGAGTTTAAAAATAGACAATCTATATTTATTAGTATTTAAAAAAGCAAATCAAAAAAGACATATGTCATAATTCTATTACACTTCTCTATCTTCTTCTTCAACTCAATGTGCCACATGTCGTTTTACATTTTTTATTTTTCATTATACAATTTTTCTTAACTCTTTCATTAAACACTTTATCTTCATCTCCCCTCTTTAATTCAACCTTTTTATTTTCTCTCTTTGATTTTAGTCCCTCCATCTTCTTTCTATTAAGTCTCATTTCAAATTAAAGTCCCAAATTTTTTTTTTCTTTAATTATGTTTTCATTTACATATTACACTCATAATTATTTATTGGTATTTCCTTAATCATCTCTCAATGCAATTTTCTAAGAACAAGCCGTGCATTGCACGGGCCAAAAGACTAGTTAACATTAATAACGAAATATAAATAAACACATATTTTGAAGATACTCCGTACAAAGTAATTGTTTAAACTATATTCATTAGATTTATCAAGTTTTTTTAAAAGTAATTGGCCTCCCCTTTTTCTCTCTTCTCTATCCTCTATCCTCACTCTTCTAGGGTTTTAATTCTCTTGGCCATTTAGGTCGGAAATAGTCTAATTAGACTATTTCCGACCCTTTTTCTTTAATTCGATTTATTTTTTTGCTTTGTTTTACGTTTTTGGTTTGTTTGTTTTGTTTTGTTCTCTCCATCTGTCCCAATTTTCTGGGATTTTGATTCTCATCTATAGATGAGAATTTTATTTTTAGGGTTCTTATAATAATTGGGAAGGTGATTTGGATTCCTATGAGTGGGATTTGTCATCAACTAATCGATCAAAACATCAGCGCAGATTACGGAGGTCTCAACTTGGAAAGATGCAAAGACATCGAAAATCATTGTTCGCGTCAAGTTTAAAGCGGTGGAGTATGAGCTATGTCAAATATGCAAATTAGTTATGATTTTGATTGTAAAAGTTATGATATTTTCTCTAAATCTGTGGTTTACAGATCCTTATTATTGTAGATGTCGTATGACTTTTATTTAAAGATATTATTCTCACCGTTCAAAAAAAAAAGTTTTTTTAAAAGTAGAAATGAACTATCAACAAATAATGGTTTTCGTTTAAAATAAAAAATAAAATACGGAGTAATTGTTAAGTACCCCATATATATATATTAGGAAATGTACGGAAATGTTGTTCATTTCATATTCTATTTTTTTTTTTTTGTTGAAATCATTTCATATTCTATAAGACATCTTGTAACAAATATATTCAATGATGATCATATAATCATATTTTGTTTTGAAGGATTTTTTTTTTTTCTAATTGAGGTACATATTACAATAATAGTCAAGAACTAGAAAATGAACTACTCCGTATATAATTAAGATTATTGTATTTATTATGTTATTTATTTCATATCCTTTTAACTCTTCTTTACTACTCATTTAAATAACCCGTAGTAATGTAGTTTGTATGAATGAAAAAGGATACTCCAGTATATGACTGTTTAAATGTTTTTTTAAAATGAAAAAGGCTACTCTGAAGTTTTTGTAGTTGTAGTTGTAGTTTATAACGAGTACATGTATTGAGACCTAGGATGCACGGAAACGGATACGGACACGGACACGATACGGACACGGGAAAACGGCAATCCTAAAATAGGGGACACGGGTACGGCGTATAACAAGGCATATAATATATTAAAAAAAACGAGAATTTGACAACTAATTCAATAAAACACTAAATAATTAGCCTCAAAACACACAATTTTAATTAAACAAGTAAATGAACAAAGTGTACGGACATAGTCGGATACATATCAAGAAACCATCAAACCAGACATGTCTTAATAGTACTCTTCAAGTAATCAAACAAAACTAGAAACATAACACAAAATCAAACATCTCATCAAGTAATCAACAAAACTGTCAAAACACGGTGGTGGGCGGTGGTTGTCTGGCTGACGACGAACAACAAATTGAATTATTGAAGCAATTGAATTTCAGAAAATCAGAAGTTCTTACACACTTACACTGATTAAAACCCTAAAAAATTCCCCAAATTAGCATTACTCGAATTCACTTCAGAATCACAGCAATTGTTGAATGGCAGAAATTGAGCTCCAGTAAAGATAACAATGGAGCTCAATTGTTGAATGGCAGAACACCAAGAAATAAGCACAAAAAGGCTGAAATTGAGCTCTATTAAAGACAACAATGGCAGAGACTCAGAAAATGAAGACCGATTAAGTTCTCTCCCAGACTCCATTCTCACCGACATTCTCTCACTTCTCGACATCCAAGGATGCATATTCAGAACTTTAATTGAATTTTTTAAAAAAAAAGTAGAGAAGAACCATACCTGGTGGCTGACACGGACGACGGGCGACAAGGTGGGCGGTGGAGTGATAGGTGGTGGCTGAGGACGAGCAGGCGAATAGCAAGGGCCAGGCCAGCAACTCCAGCAACCCCCGCAACAATGAGAGATGAAGGCCACGAGCAGCAAGGGCCAGGCCAGCAACCCTGACAACCGGCAAGGAGGCGAGTGGCGGTGACGGAGACAGCAAGCCGGCGGTACGGTGAGACCTACAAGTCGGCGACTGAGCAAGTGAGCAGCAAGGGGTTCAGTTGAGACTTGAGAGGATGAGAGGATTGAGAGTTTGAGAACTGGAAACTTGGAAAGAGGTAGAGA